ATAATTTTTCTATAGTCATAGTGTTTTAGTCATTTTAGGTATTTTTGTTCTAATCCTTTTTCTAAATGCTGTGATACTTTTGTGCAACGACAATTTTTTTCAGAAATAAGATATTTTTAATAGAATAGAGTTTAAAAGCTTCTAAGAAAAGAGTATTATATTTTTTTTCTAAAATAAAGTGCTAAGCAATGAATGAATGAATGAATGGAACGAACGGAAAAGAATAAGAAGAATAAATACATCAATAGAATGTGAATGGCATATTAATGTTCGTTGACAGTCTTTGGTTTTACTATACACTATACGTGCATATCAACTTTCAACAAACCCCGGCTATGCGAGATTCCTTCTCTCGGGCTTCGAGAACTTCACTAGAAGCCAGAATGCAAGAAACATAAATACATGGACTGCGAACTAAAGGCTTCATTTAAGATGAATTTTTTGTGAAAAATATTTATTCGATTTAACTTCTTAATGCATTTATGAGCGAAATGAATTAATTAATGAAATTTGAAACTAAAAATTAAAAATCCAATTTTTCAAACACTTTTTTTACATCATTTTCACTATATACAAATAATTCTGATCATTCTGATCAACAACAAAAATACATGTTTTAAAATATATTTTTTTATTTTTTAGTTTGTACGTTTATGTAACTTTATCAGGGACATTAATAAATCACTATGTTTGACCATCATAGGATGTACAAATTTGTCGCGTCAATAACTAAAAATATCTAACACGATTGAGATAAATACGGTAGCTATATAGCCAATATCTGGTGGGCGTTTTATTAACAGTTGCGAATTACAAGATATATAGTATTGACTGATTTGTAATTAAAAAAAAGAGTAAAAACTATTTTATCTGTTTACCCAGAAGAAAAAATCCCTTTAGTAGTGTTTAATCCCCTAAATAATATCATATTAGGTGATATTAGGCAAGCAATGCGGTAAAATGATGTATTTTTGATTAAAACATTTTTCAAACTATAGATTTTCGAGACAGGAAGCAAGGTGTGCGTCTAGATGGGACTTTAACATAGAATAGGACACGAAAAGTGAATATATGATGTCATTCTTTATGCTAGTCTCACGCAAGCAAGCTGGCCTAAATACAAATTCGAGCGTTCAGCTGGGAATAAACGTGAGTCTATTAGCATTCGGCAGAGCTTGTTCGTTTAAAATCTTCCTCAATAAATCAGAAAGTAATAAACACAGAAAGACCAAATCAATTGTTTTGCAGTACTTATTTTTATATGCACACGAAATAATATAATATCAAATTTAAGAAAAATATCTTATTAATAAGAAAAAGACAGTCCCTGATTCGAATTCACATAAAAACGATATTTGAGAGAATAAATAATCGCATATGATAGTAAATACCAAGAAATCAAAACTAGGCGTTTTAAATTTATCAAATTAATACATAACTGATACAGAAATTGCTATAATTCCACATGAAATCATAAAATAGTTTTAAAAATGCTGAGAATTATAATAGAGTTCTATTTTCATTATATATGACTGATGTGTTTAGCCGAGGGTTTTATCAATAATTATAGTTATTTACTGGAATATGATTTCATTTAAAAATATTAAAATAACTATTACAATAATTACTATATCCATATATCAAATGACTATTACTGGGATAGTAAAGTAGCTAAATTTTCATTCATGCAGGTACTTTAATAATTCATGTTAAATAGGTATAACTTTCTTCAGTGTCACGCAGTTAATCAAAAATTTTGCTACGCAATAATAACATTTCTTTGATGATATTAAATTATAAGATTTCGTTAAGAATGTCAGAAAAATAGGAAAAAGAAAATTTAACTTTTCACCTTCAACTTCTTAGAAAGAATAAATTATGTCAATAAAAGATAAACTAAAATACGTTCTCATGCGGGTATATCTACACTAGATCATTCCTCTTTTTTTAATAAAGACCAATTACTTCACTATTAGTAATAACGATTAAATAATATATAGCTTATGATATGAAGACTTAATTTATAATCAAGGTGTCTCATTAACACGATTAAATAATAATAAATATCGTATGCATTTATTTCTCTCAGGGTTAACACAAAAAATTAATTTTCTTTTTCCCTGACCAAAAGAATATATTCTGATTCTCAAATTTAAAAATATGCCATTACAATAGTAAGAATTTTTACTAGAAATGTAGGTAAAAAAATTAGAATTACTAAATAAAATAGTAATCTTTTACTAAAAATTAAGGATTATTCTTCAATGTGAATATTAGTGGCTTGGTTTTCACAAATTCGAAAGAAGAATTTTCATTTCGTCAATTTCTATATATACATAAAATCTCAGATTGTATCTAAGAATCGTTTCTTAATGTTCCAAATGGTGTATAACAATAAAAGTTTTTAAAAAAAATTCAAGTAGAGTTGATAGTTCTAAGCGCGGCTAACCAAAAATAATTGTTAGTGTTGGTCAGCAGCATCCATTTGATGGACCATCTGCTTGGACCTTACAATCAGTTGTAATTCTACCTGAAAATCCTCACCTGGTCTTGGAACAAAATTTTTTTCTCGAACAAAACCATTACTACTTTTCGTTTATCTTATTTTCAGTCCATTCACGTTTTTCAAAGATTCGTGGCATTGCACACATACTTTCTTGGCTACCTGGTATTTCAGACCTTCTTTTGTCAAGCAAACTCTCTTTCTCTCATATTCTTTACATTTTTGCGCGATTAAAAGATTTCTATTGAAATTAGTATACAACACGTAAAGATGTATTATTTTCAGTAGAAAATATTCTCAATATTGATTCTTTACAGGTCAATAACCAAGTTTTGTGAAGCTCACAACGCTGATTAACGAAAAATAATTTCAGATAAGTGTATTATTCCAAGAATATTTTTATTTATATTTTAATTATTGTATATTTCTCTAAAAAAAAATTCGAATGAAATAAAAATTAGTGAAATTGATAAATTGTTTTTTTTTAACAAAATGAGTGGTTAATTTTTAAGAGAGAGCAAAAAGGAAAATATAATTGCACTAGATTGAGAATTAATTTCAAATAAGGACAACAATCGAAATATAATAAATGTTTGATTAACACATTAATGTCTTTTTTATGCAGGTATTTACATAAAAAAATATGTATTACTTTATGAATGTCATTCATTAACAAGTGTATAGTTTAAAATTACGCATGTTAGTTAATTATTAGTCACACGCGGATCTCTTATCCATTCTGTGCGTGACTATTTTAAAATATTAATAACAATAATTGTTCGAGAAAGTGCAATTATATTTAGTGTACTCAAACAGCTAACAATATAAATAAAAATCCATAAAATATTGTCATTCATTAAGATCCATTTGGGAATAAAAATCTTTTTAACTTAGCAAAAAAATGTTTTTATTACACATTCGCATTTAGTATTTCTTTGAACCTATAAAATTTTATGACATTCATATCAGTTTTCGTTTACATATGTGTAGCAATAAATTCATTTTACGCCAATCGATTTTGATTACAGTTTCTTTTAAAGATTTTAATTTTCTACCTAATGCTAAAAAGAGAATTTAAATTCGATTTTTAAAAAGAAATTATAAAATATTTAATTTCCATAAGGAGCAATAATAATCTTTGAAGTGATATTAATGATTTACTAAAATATAAGTTACTAAATAATTGTAATTTAGCAAATACCACCGATAGAAATGCTTGTATTGCGTGAGCTGAAAGACCAGATCCGGTTTTCAAATGTCGCCTCAAGCGCGAAAAGCAATTGCTGCTCTTTCAGTACACAAATGCAACAATTACGCACAATTTTATCAAGCTTCATGTTCAATAAAGCCGTATTAATTCATATTGTATTAACAACTTAATTCTAACTGAGAAACGAAGATTCGAGCGCATAAATTATCTACAATATAACTAATCGAATATGTACCGGAACTTATTTATATAGGAATTATTTATATGTATACGTAATATCTATATAAAACCGTCTGTCTCACTGAAACACGGAAAATTTCTTAAATTTTTTGAAAATTTCTAAATTTTATTTACCATCCCAAATTTGTAAAAAGATGATTGATGATTTGTCTTTCAAAAATAATATATAATAATTCACCATAATATTTGTCAATCGTTTCTTCGGTGATTTTAAACATGAAAGTAAAACCAATTCAAGCTCAATATTAATTTAAATTTAAATATGAAAAAAAATCATTATTACTAAAAACTTTCTCTTTTAAGAATTAATTTTTTCATAAATTTATAAAAAGAATAGAGTCTCTACCGTGAATATGAAAGATAAGGCCTAAAATTGAAAGTGACGTGAGTGTTATATGTAAATTGAATGTAAATTAAGAGTTAGTTATTATCTGCTTATTCAAGCACAAAATTTTTGGAAACCATTTATTGCGTAAAAATATATATTTTGTTATCAAACGTAACAATTTAAGTAAGACAAACGTCCCAGTTGCTGCACATGTAGCTTATACAAAAATGTTTTTATGTTTTTCAATAAAAAAAATTACTCTCGAAATTCTGATTTATGTAAAATTTAAATATTATGAACAATTTCTGTTAATAAAACATTTTTGTAATATACGGACAGTTAAAATTTAGAAGCATGGAAATATATTAAGAAAATATTGCACATTACAAAGTATTAACTCAACTTTTTGATGAAACAAAAGACAGTTTAATATTTCATATAACAAACAATCAAATTATTCTTAATTTCTTGATTAATTTGAATTAAGTTTAAAGTATTTTTTTGTTTAGCATATATTCTGCGAAAAACTATAGACAATTATTTTTAATGGTTTTGTTATCAATTTTATTTCTTATTGTTAATGTTTAAATGAAACAAAAGTTGACAAAAGTTTTCTTATAAGAAAGAATCTTGTCATTATGTATCAGGTATTAATTGACTTTTAAAAACATGTTACGGACAAAAGTATTTAAAATATAAGTACTTAAAAAAATGCAAACCTCTTGTACAAAGTAGAACTAGAAAGATGGTTAAAACTCCAGATCTATTCATTTTTTCACAATGTAATAGTTAAACTTTTATGTTAAAAAAACACAGAGTAAATAACTAAACAATATCACGTTCAGTCACAAAATTTTTTCATGAGAGGGATTAATATTTAAAATTTTTAAAAAACCTCATAAAAATATAAACTTTTGGTAAAAATATTAAAATACGAATTCACGGTATAATCCACAACTCTATAGAAATTTCTATAAGAAGCGCACCCAAAAGCGCACCTACGTGATACTGAATTACTGAGACTGAGAGGACTGAACTGAACGAAAGACTTTTTACGGGGACCTGCGCGAAACAAGTTGCGCCTCAAACCGGCTTTCGCTAAATAAATTCACATAGTACATATTTATTCTAATATTTTTCAGAGATTTTTTTTGCTCTATTATATTAAAGAAGTTTATTATCTTCGTAAATCGTTTTTTATTGAATGTGCAAAAATAAATGATAACCTTTGTAAAGTTCGCCAAGTAGTCGTTTTAAAGTTAGAAAATAGAAATGATAATATTTTGTTGCTCAATAATATTTAATTTTAGGCAGTTATAAAATAAATATAATAATATTATTATTTCATAATGTGATTAAACTTATACATTAATTATTTCAAGTACCATTTTTACTAGAAAAAAAATATGTTGCCAGGTATAAGAAACCACATTTTTCCAAAAACAAATTAACTCCAAATTATTTAAATTATTATTAAACTCCATTATTTTATAATAATATCAATATTTCAAATGCTTTGAATTTTTAAATTTGTCTAGGTAGTTAAAATTTTAAGATACATTTTCATCAGTGAAAAAATTGGTATATAAGAAAGAGGAGATATATCCCCCCATAACCACCACTGTTCTATGAAGTCCAATGACCAAGAATAATAGTGGCTTTATGTAGAAAAAAGTTGGGTTACTATACTGATAAGAAATATCATTCAACAGGTATAAAGTTACATATATGATAAATAATTTAAACTAGTGTAAAAAAAAAGTTAATTGTTCATGAAAAAAAGAAAAAATAATTGAAAAATTGGTTTTTCTGTTGTTATATATGTACATACAGCTATATTATGAATTTTATGTTTTTTAATTAATAAAAAAATTTTGAATATTGAAACACTTATTAGTCGTGTCTTTATAATATTAATAATAATAATAATAATAATAAAAAGAATATATTTACATAGAGAACCATAGAGAACTTAACAAAAGTTCTTAACCGGCAATTTATAAACATAACCTTCAAATTGCTTCGAATTCACAAATAAAATTATAAACAGAAACTTCAAGAAGGTTTTTTTTTATAAATAAAAAGTATGTGTAAGGCGGAATCCACACTTTGATTTTGATCTAAGCACACTAAAGGCCTTTCTCCAATAGGATCTAAAAGCACGCGTTGCTCTTAGAATCCTATTGGAGAAAGGCCTTTATAGGCCTAGCACAGTTGCATTGTGAATGCAGCCTCATGGTTCTTTAATCATGAACAGTATAGGTTATGTTATGCTTAACGACACAAGTTTCAAGTTTGTTGTTTTTTTCATTTGTCAATTATGATAATTAAATTAAATGATGACATAATTGTACAATAATTTATATCCATTAATTTGAAACAGATAATTTTGTCCCTCAAGCAGTAGTTTACAAATAATGAATTATTAGTTGTTTTCATTTGATTCAAAAATGTCAAACACTTTTGCTGGTAAAAGTTTACTGCAATCAAATGTACTTCAATGCAAAAATCTTCACGAATACTTGAAAGCACAAACGCCCGAAGTGCTTGATAGACTTTACCACAATCCACCAATTTGTCTTGCGGTGTTCCGTGAATTACCTACAATAGCTAGACATTATATTATGAGATTGCTGTTTGTGGAAAGACCAGTTCCTCAGGCAGTTATTACCTCGTGGTGTTCAAAGTTGCACGCCGAAGAACATCTAAAAGTGGCTCATTCGTTAACGGAATTAAATGTTTGGACTGAGGTTTCAATTTCTGGTGGGTTGCCTGGATGGACGTTAAATAAAATATTTCAGACAAATTTGAAAATTGTCTTACTCGGAGGAGGAAAACCATGGACTATGTCGAATCAATTGGATACTGATAGTAAGCCGAGAGATATTGCTTTTCTCGATTCTTATGCTTTAGAAAGATGGGAATGTGTTTTGCATTACATGGTTGGATCACAGCAACAAGAGGGTAAAAATAATTTTTATAAAAAGCACCGAATCCTATATTACTATTTTATAAACACTTTCTTTCTTTAGGCATATCAGCAGACGCTGTTCGTATATTACTTCACGCTAAACTTATGAAATGCGATGAAGAGGATGGAAGTCCTGTAATTACTCAAGGAGGATTTCAGTTTCTACTGTTAGATACTGCTGCTCAGGTGATGTATCGAAAATATCTTGAGAATATTTCTCTCCGCCTTTTAATTATTAACACAATATAAATTTTAGGTGTGGTATTTTATTCTTCAATATCTAGACACAATAGAAAATAGAGGGCTCAACTTGGTTGAATGTTTAACTTTTTTGTTCCAATTAAGTTTCTCTACTCTTGGTAAAGATTACAGTACTAGAGGTATGTCTGAAGGTTTATTAACGTTTCTGCAACATTTAAGAGAATTTGGACTTGTCTATCAACGTAAACGGAAAGCTGGAAGGTGACTATGAATTATTTTTACATTTACTTATTATCCTGCGAAAGAACCAGTAAAAATAGAAATTAATGGAATACATTTTTCAGGTTTTATCCTACTCGTCTCGCACTGAATATAGCAACTGGACAAAATAATCCTTTATCTAGAGATTTAGAAAAGGAACGTTATATTGTGATCGACACCCACTTTGGAGTTTGTGCTTATACGAATTCAAATTTACACGTTGCACTGCTTGGACTGTTCTGCAAGATGATTTGCCGGTATTGTGCAGAATCTTAATGGTTATATTCATCTGGAAATAATTGTCTTTTTTATTGAAATATTGAAATATGATTTCATTTTATTAGGTTTTCCAATCTTGTTGTATCGCTATTAACACGAGATTCAGTTCGGCAAGCTTTAAAAAGTGGAATCACTGCAGCACAAATAATTAAGTAAGATCGTTTCACATAAAATAAAAATAATTCCTTTCTTCTTTTCTTTAGTAATAAATAAATAAATAAATAAATAATTTTTACAGTTATCTTCAGCAACATGCACACAGTCAAATGATAAAGGACGGTCCTCCAACTTTACCTCCTACTGTGGTTGATCAAATAAAACTTTGGGAAAATGAAAGGAATAAATTTATGTTTACTGAGGGTGTTTTGTATTCTCAATTCCATTCCCAAGCTGATTTTGAAGTTTTAAGGGATCACGCTCTATCAACTGGAGTTTTAATTTGGCAAAGTGAAAGGTAAACTTCGATATTTGTGAAATGCCTAATTAAATTTTTATTAATAATACTTAATCATTTAAATATTATATTTATCTGTACAGAAAGCGGACGATGGTTGTTAATAAGTCTGGTCATGATGACGTTAAAAAATTTTGGAAAAGATACATGAAAGGGGCAAGTTGATGAGAAAAATCGAGTTCAATGTACATAAATGTAGTTATGCAATTATTACCTATTTTGTAGATGTGCGGTAGCAAACTACAAAGGTTTTATTTTTTTTATACATTTTTTAATTTATACTTTGCAATTGTAAATAAATTAAAAACCAAATAAATCTTATCGTTGTAATTCATTTTTTGAAAGAAAAGAGAAAAGTCAAGTGTATAAAATTCAGGTTTTATTTAAAAACGTTAAAATAATCAGACCATTGAATTAATTTATTTTAAATTTTGCTCTCAACGCTGAGGAGCTGCCTTTGGTTTTGGCATTTTATTTAGTAAAGCTTGTATTTCTTTCTTTTCGTCATATGTTTTCCATAATTCATAGAGATTAATTATGTAGCGTGCAATTTCTTGAATTTTCTCCATATCAGCATTTAATTCAGCAAACCATGTTTTTAAATCCTTCTGCAGTATAACGCAAGCAATTTGTAAGCAGCCTGTAATTCAAAAAAGAAAGAAATTTCTGTTAATATTCTTAGATTAAATAAATATGTTGAAATTTGTTTTACCAATGGCAATCTGATAAGGTGGGTAGAGAAGACACACGTCGGTTCGTAAACTGTCGTTAATAATTCGCCATGCAAGAGTTAACAATTGTTCATCTGGACCAACATCTTGTATCAAAGTTAATAAAGGGCGATATGGTTGATATACAATCAAACAACAGTCTAAATGCTCCAGCAAATAGAATTCACACTCCAATATATGGTTCGTTCTATATGGAAATTCTTGCGAGTAAGCGTAATTAAATTTGTTTTTTACTAAAAATATAGAGAATCCATTATATACTTTACACATTTTTTTTAACTTATATTAAAAATTAACAATTAGAACTTACCAACAGTTTGACAAGTCGTAATAAGTCTACTATTTGAAATAACACCAAATTCTTCTACTTTTGAAGCCAAAAACACAGATGTAGGAGCCAAAAGTAGTGGATCAATACATTTTAAACTGTTTCTGGCGTAAAATCTTTTAAAATAAACAGTAGCGGTTGCAATAACTTGCTGTCTCAATTTTAGTTGCTCTCCCAAAACTTGAATCACTAGAAGATTTTAATCAAATTAGTATAAATTTGAATCTTTACAAAAATTCGAAACTTGTATACTATTTTTTTTATAATAGATGGTTTAAAATTGTAATATGTAGTCTATGAATAACTAAAGTAAACATGACTTTTGTTATGCAGAAATTGTAATAAAAAGTTTACTTACAATTTGCGAAAAATATGAATAACTTTTGGTATTCCTCTTCCGATAGTATTGAAAGATCATGCTGACGTTCTCGTACCAAGTCTTGTTTATCCAATAACCATTGTTGACTAAAAAAATGAATAATTGTTAAATACTAAATTAAAACATTAAAATATGATTTAAAATAAATATAAAAGTTAGTCTGAAAATATAATTCGTTGAAATTGATAAAAGGTGTAATATCTAATCTTGTAATTCTTTTCATTTAAACTTACTGGTGCGAACTCTGCCAAAAGTTTCCAGCCATTTTTGTCAATTAAAATCATTACTTTTTGATACGTCTTGATTTAGTTTATCATATCACTTTCTATTTTTAATGTTTTAAATGTAAAGTTACTCGTTCTTGTTTGTATTGAATATTTTTAAAAAAAGGTTTGTTGTCTTGATGTGCATACAATGCCGCAGTTTGCCAGCTGACAACAAGTATAAAAGGTGCTTCTACAATAAATGTAATTATGTAACAAGCCCGAAACATAATAGTTTTGCGAACGCCATGAGATAAAAAAGGACAAAAATATGTATTTATCTCATATTGCCTGCTTGCAAAGTTGTGACTGCTCCTTTAGTCATATGTTTGATTACTTTTTGCTTTACGCTTTTTGCTCAAATGTGACTACACCCTTATGTTATGATCAACAAGTTCAACCTTTAACATAGACATAAAAAGAGCCTATTGTGGACATAGCCTTATTCGAACATTGCAGCGCAGCCCTAAGTGTATGAACTGTATGAACTATGGTGAACCATAAAAAAGTAAAATATCTTGATATCAAGAAAGTCTTCTTGTTTGATATGCAAATTACATGTTTCTTAATTTTTTCTAACTGGTAACTATTATTATTATGTCTAATAATAATTTTTAATATTGTTTCAAAACCTTTAATTTAACGTAAAATTTTTAAAATTTTTTATTATGTATTTTTCGTGTCTATTTGAAAACAATACCGCGTAATTGTTACCCTTCGTGGATTACTTATTATAATTTTAAATATTTTTTAATTATAATGAATAAAACTTTTTTTAAAAGAATAGTGTATTGTGATACTATGAATTTTAGAAATAGAGAAAGAAGGATAATATTTGGAGGACATTAGAAAGAAATTGGGAGTGACTCATGGTGGAACAGGCATAAAAAAGAGTTAAAATATATCCAACATTATAATCATGACCATCAGGAAATATGTTCTACAGCGCATTAATTCCAATGACAGAGTTGTCATCAACAATCGAGATGTTTCGGTAAATTTTAATTACATATACAAATAATACATTATAAGATTAATAATTATATGTGTATAAACACGCACGTGTGTATGTCGATGCGTATTGTTTTTTTAGTTTCAATTTCAACAAAGTTCTTTATACAAGGTTTTTTGAACATTTCTAATCATGATAATGAAAAACTAAACTCTTTATTTTATAGTAATAAATATAAAGTAAAATGTTTCTTTAGTATTCTGCAAAATATGATTTATTTTGCTTAAGACAGCAAATGCTTCATGCAATTTAAGAAAAACTGTCTTGCATATATTACATTAGTGTTTATTATCACTCCGTGTTATCTTATCTTGAAAATTTGCCTAGAAATGACCATTGTTTTGGTACATTTTGTAATTAAATAAAAAATCCTTTTAAATAAAATAGCCACATAATTGAAAAATTATTTTCAGTACACTTGTGGTAGAGGAAAGGAAAATCAGATCATTTGTCCCAGTATGTTTGTTTCAAGAAACCACTGTATTTTCATTATTCAATCTGACGGATTGTACATACGGGACTTGAATGTATGTATCTAAATTTGTATTGTCTTATGCAGTTGTATAAGAAAAAATGCGTCAGAGTTTAACTCCTGAATATTTTAATAAATTGTTTTTAAATTAATTTTTAGAGCTCAAACGGTGTTTTTGTTAATGGTGAGAAGAAAGTTGCAAACACATTGTTAAAAATACATGATAAAATTGGAATTGGTGTACCTGAACTGGAGCCAACTGAAAACAGTTATTACGTTTATTCACTATACATCCAAGAAGTAAATCATTTTTTTAAATTTATATTTTCACTAAAAAAAATAGAAAATTTCAATTTTATTCCTTCAAATTTATAGAATATTATTTCAATTTTAATATGTATAAATAATTATATGGATGATTATTGCAAAAACTGTTTTTGTAGGTAGAAAATCTTGAACCTGTTGCTGGTGGTTCTACCAATGGAATCGAAGTAAAAGTGGAACCAGGTGAAAACAATATTAAAAGCGAAATTGTTGAAGATGACAGTAAAAAAAAGCGACCTTCTGAAGATAAAGTTGGAAATCCATCAAAAAAACAAAAAACTTTTGGTAAAACCTTAGTTACAGTAGATTTAATGATGAAAATTCATGACAATTTAAATAAATTGCTGTGAAATGTATAATTGTTGTTTTTTTCAGTTAGTCCAATTAATTACATCCAAAGCCATTGTTGTGCCTATTTTTTTCAAAAATTTTAATACTTTTTAGAAATAATTTTCATTAAATAAATAGCAATTATTTATTCAATTTTCTTTTTATATTTTTAGAACACAATTTGTTAATTTTTCAAGTGATTATAAAAACAGATTTTTAAAATTGATTGATCTTAAAAGGTATTATTTAAGTACTCGAAACTTAATGCCGTATTTGAAAAGTTAATTTCAATCATTAAAACTATAATGGAATTTTATGATTTTTGTAAATGAATTTAACTGCAAATTTAAAGTTTGTATATATTTTTATAAAACTAAATTAACAGTATATGCTTTTTTAGAGGTTAAAATTTAAAAACATTAATATGTATACTTTTGAGAGAAAATCTATTCGAAAGTTGTGATTATTTCTTATTTTATATGAATATTACAAAATAAAGTTCTAATATTTAGAATTTTCAGTGATTAAGTGAGAATAATCTTTAAATGAAATGTGCATAATTCAAAAAAGTAAGTTAATTGTAGTTTTATTAAATTTTGTAGTCTTATTAAATGCAAACGTCATCCTTTTTCTGTACAATTGAAATTAAATATTATGCCTATACAATAAATGTGAAAAATTGTTCCTAGAAAAGTTTTAAAATATGTATAAAATAGTTTACACTGGTTTTAAATGTAATATAATGGATTATACTATAAACATTAAATTTTTTGAATTATTTATTTGAATTATAAAAGTAATTAAAATTTATAAAAATTAACTTTACATTTTATAATAAAATTATTTGTATATTAATAAAATAATAATTAAATTGAATGAATTTAACGTTTCTAAAAAAATTTCTTTTATTTTAGATCCTGTACCAAGCACCAGTTCTGCAAACTTTAATATTGATAAAAGAGATTCGATAAAGTTGGAAGTAGAAGATGAGATTGAAATAGTAAATGTTATTTCACTTTCTGATAAAAAAAATCAATTAACTGTTGAAAGCGCAGGATCATCAGGAGTTGGAAAAGCAATAGACAGAATGCAGGTTGAAAATATTGAAAAGAACGGAAAAGTTGGGAGACAAACAGAAAATGGAAAATGCACAAAGAAGAGCAATATTACGAATATAGAAAAAATAAGTCGTGATAAAGCTTTGGATATAAATTCTTTAAAACAAAACAGTGGAATTAATAATGATCTTAATGCAACAGTAAAAAACAGATTTCAAAATTCTTCCAATCCATGTCAATCAACCAATTGTGATAAACCAGTGTTACCGAGTACATCCAGTGATACAAATGTTACCTCAGTAAAAGTAGAAGCTGATGAAGATATCGTTTGTTTAGAAGATATTGAAAATACTACCACTCCTCAAAATTCGAAAGTTCCATTAAAAGATCCACAACTTCTACAAATGAATAATAATCAGTCTTCTATTTCAAAACTAGTCAAATTAAAGACTGTTAGAAATGAACCAACAACTTGTTATTCGCAGGTTGATATTGTTTCTTTGAGTTCTGATGAAGAGGATGATGATCATTTAATTTTCCCTTGTTCTCAACTTTTCAATGTGTCCAACGATGAGCCTCCGATTAAAAAAGAGGAAATCGAAATGGAGAAAAATGAAATCAAAGAAGATTATGATGATAATGTGATTACACTTTCAGACTCTGACGAAGAAGACAATAATCCTTGGTTTAATAAACTTTATAACAGTCAGGTGTACAGACCTAGTCAAGATTTTCATATTAAAGATGAACCTGATGATGAAATTATAAAAACAAGTGCAGATGAAGAATCAGAAAAGAAAAATCACTACACATCTGAGTCGGAAATTTTACAAAGGAACGAGATTTTTGAAGTTGATGTATGTTTTTTAATTAGTTTTTTAATTCTGCTAAACTTTAACTTTCAATAAAGTAATTTAATCATTTTATTTTGAATTGTTAGTATGAAAATTGATCATTGTTTATTGTAATAAGCTTTTATATTTTTAATAATTTTAGGAGCAGGATGACGATGTATGGGACGAAACAATCCAATCGCAACAGACAGCATCACAAGAGATTAAAAATGAAAGTATTGATAATAAAAAAATCCAACATAGAAAATCTTCGGCCAAACAAGATGTAGGAAAATCACGCGAGAAAGAAATTAGAAAAATAAATGATATTCATAGGGATGAGTTTTCAGACGTTGAAGCTGACATGAATTTAGCACTAGAAATTTCTGGATTTAGTTATAAAAATAGACGAGAAAATGAGATAAGAGACGAAAATTTACAAAAAACAAAAAAGCACAGTTCACATAAAATAAAAAAATATCAGGACATTGAGAAAAGAAAAGATTCAAAAGATGAAAAGTACAAGAAGAGACGAAGGAGTTCCGCTGACGATAGCGAGGGAAATAAAAAATCTATCGATGAACGACAACTTATAAAAACCAGTGTTAAAGAGAAGAAGGAAAAACAGATTAATTTCAAAAATAATCAAGAAAGGCAAAAAACTTTTGATCAAGAGAGTTCGAAACAATCTATAGAAGAAAGGAAAAGACAAACGACTGTAGAAGATCGTAAAAGGAGAAAAACTGGTGAATATTGTGAAAATGGACAAAGTGATCATGAAAGACGTCAAACTATCGATCAAGAGAAAAGAAAAGGGCAAAGTGCTTCAGAAGAACGGAAAGAAAAAAAAAGAGGTTCCGAATTTTTGGAAAATCGAGATAATGACCAAGAAAGACGAAGCACCAGTGATCAAGAAAGTTTGAGACATTCTCTCGATGGAAGAAAAAAGCAAAGTGTTTCGGAAACTGGAAAAGTTAAGACAACTTCTGAATATTTGGATAATCGAGAAAAGAAGAAAAAGAGCTGGGAAGATGAATTGTTGAATATTGAAGAAAAAGTATTAACAATTAAACCAAAACCACCTGCTAGAAAGGCAATAGTCATCGAGCCACTTTACATGGTAAAAAGTGATAAACGAAGAACTAGTGTACCAGTTTTTAAAAATAATAATGACAATAATAATTCCAATGAAACTTCTAATGAGAGAAACGAGGAATCAGAGAATGAAATTTCAAAAATAACACCTCCCAGAAAACGAAGTAGGTCGAGAAGTCGAAAATCGCAAGAAAATTTATTTAAAGAAACAAATCAAGGAATAATACCTAATTATAAAGAAAAACGAAAAGAAAAATTAAAAGAACTTTCAGCAAAGAGATCACTTCGTGAAACAAATTCAAATATGGTTCCATGTAGAAAGTCAAAAGGTATTGCTAAGGTTACTCATAAATCTCGACAAGATTCTCTTCTTTTCGAACAGCAAAAAGCAGCTTCAATAAAACCAGGAATTGCTCACCAAAGAACTAGCAACACATCTCCAATTGCTCATTGCTCGAAATTCATTCCTGAATCCACAACGATCTCAACGAATAAAAGAGAAGAAAAATGTCAAAATAGTGAAATTAAGTTAAATCACAAAGAGCGAGATTACAATTATGAGAAACATGACCGAAAAGAACTGAGTAATAATGTTACTTTAAATGTCCCTCCAATTTCATCAAAATCATCAAGAGAGAAAAAGGAAAATAATGAAAATAGGAAACCTCTCAAAAGTTGTCTTTCGAGATTTGGTTACAAAGAAATTAAAAAGAAAAAGAAAGTACGCTTTAATGACAAAAATTGTATAAAGACATACGAAATAGAGGAATGCAATTCTCTAAATAGAGTTGTTGGAAAGGATGCTCCAATGAATCGAAATAAATCTCAAATTGAACCGCATATTGATGAATATTTGTCACGAATATTTGATTGGAATCCAGCATGGCTCAGTGTATGTATAAAATATTTATTATTAAAGATTATATTAAGATTATGCATTTAGATTAATTATTAATGTATTACATATTTAGGAACAAAAGAAACTTCCAAATGAACCACCTGTCTACAAGGGTGATCATTTACAGAAAATAAAAACTCATTATTCCTCATTCTTGGAATATTCAAATTTCTTTCGACCACTTCTTCTGTTGGAAATGTGGAATACTTTAAGTAAAGAAAGCGAATGCGAGGAAAAGAAAACAAAGTAAGATTAGAAATTCGAAGATTTTATTTTTATTTCATTTAAAAATTTCTCAATTTCTTCTTTCCTTTAATTTCAGATTTAGACAACGATATTGTTCTGTGGTTCAGAATTCGGTAACAAAAAATAAAACGCTTACTGGTGAATTTCAAACCAATTTATTAATAGAAATGCTGGTGAGCAAAGAAGATTTTGATAGGGAACTTTATCCTGGACCCGGACATTTGTTACTATTTGAGTATCCATTCTATGACAAGGCAAAAGATCAAAATGGGAGTTTCTCCAAAAAGTTGCAGTTTCGTTGGATTTTTGCATTTGTTAAAAGTAAAACTCGCACGGAAATAACGGCTAAGACGCGATTCAACAGAAAACTGAGTGAGCATGAATTAAATATAATAATATATAATTAAATGTAATTAAAAACAAAATATTAATATTAATAACTTTTCAGTGGAATTTACACCAAACTCGCAAATACTTATAACTCTATTTGTATTATGCAAGAATGCTATCGAACCAGCGACAGATCATGTTTGTAGAATACGTGGTGCAATGTATCTGAAAGCAAATATGCGAGACATTTTAGCTTTACAAAATCTTCCAAAATCAAGATTAAGATCATTAATTTTGACTCCAAACCTGGAAGATTATAAACTTCCTGAAGCTGAACAGATTCCACTTGTTACAAAGGTACTTTGTTATGATTTTGTTTGCAGGACTCGAACTAGGTCCGTAAATCCAGTAAAAGTCCATAAATTTGCTTCAAGTCCGTAAAAGTCAGTTTTTTTTTTAAAAAAAAAGGCCCGTAATTTCATTGAAAAATCAAGAAAAGTTCGTAAATTGTACTATATAATTTGGAGAATTTGAAATTTTAGATTTTAACGAATATCTCGTCAAGAATTAAATTTTTTTGATAAATAGCAAAATTTTTCACTAAAAATTCAATTATTTTCAAAAATTTAAATAAAGTTCTTTGCAAAATTTCAATTATTTTCAAAAGTTTTACGCAATTCAATGATTTTCAATATTTACTATTTTCATAAAATTTATCACAAAATTTAATTATCGAAAAAAGTTTTTTGATACAATTTTACGAAAACATTCAATTATTTTCATAGCATAATTTCAAATATTTTTAATACAATTTTAAATAAATTCCTCGAAAAATGCAATTATTCTTAAAAATTTTATTAACACTCGACAAAAGAATTCATTTTTAAGAATCATTCAATTATTGAATAAAATAATGAAATTCGTTGCGATAATTAAATTATTTTCATAAATAACTTTTAATTCGTCGCAGAAAATCAATTATTTTCAAAAATTTTAATACAAATTATTGGCAAAATTTCAGTGATTTCCAAAAATTTTCCTCAATTCAATGATTTTTAATATTTACTATTTTAATGTAATTTTCCAAAAGAATTCAATTATATAAAATGAATTTTCATAAAATTCTACTCAAATCTTTAATTATTTTCATAAAATAATCAAAATTTCACAGGAATTCAATTATTTAAAAATTTTTTATAAATTTCTTCGGAATCATTCAATTATTTTCATAAATAATAAAATTTTTACAGAGATTCAATTATTTTCGTAAATAATAAAATTCTTTTTATAAATTCAATTAGTTTCATAAATAATAAAACTCATTGCAGAATTTCAATTATTTTTAATACAATTTTAATCGAATTCCTCGAGAAATGTAATTATTCTTAAAAATTTTATTAAAATTCGTCAAAAGAATTTAATTATTTAAAAATTTATTGATAAAATTCTTTATGAGAATTCAATTTTAAGAAACATGTAATTATTCAATAAATTGCTTTTTTTTGTATTTAAATAATTGAATTCTAGTAGAATTTTCTAAAATTTCAGTTAAAATCTTAGATTATAATTGAATATTAAAAACATTAGAGCGTGAATTTTTAGAAATAATTGAATTTTGAAAAGGTTTCAAATTAAAATCTTTGAAAATCTGAATTTTTCACATTTTTAACTAACAATTCTGTGGAGTTAATTTTTTGGAAAAAGTTAAATTTCGAGTTTTTTTAAAAATTATTTGAAGTTTTATTTTCTAATATATATTTAATTAAAGAATTTAAAAATAATTGGAATTTTGTGAAATTGAATTGTAAACAAATGAATTTCAAAATATTCAAAGAACTTTTCAAAAATGATTAAAAATAATCGATTTAAAGAAGAATTTCAGATAAAAATACAAAAAAAAATTTAATTTTGGAAAAGTTACAAATTATTGCAGAAATTTAATTATTTGCAAGAGTAATAATATTCTTCGCAAAAATTAAATATTGTTCAAAAATAATAAAATTCTTCTTAGGGATTCAATTATTTTCTCAAATAATAAAACTCATCGCAGAATTTCAAATATTTTCATTACAATATTTTAATCAAATTTCTCGAAATATGTAATTAAATTTTATTAAAATTCGTCGAAAGAATTCAATTATTTAAAAATTTGTTGATAAAATTCTTTATGGGAATTGAATTTTAAGAAACATTCAATTATTCAATAAATTATTTATTTGCATTTTATTTATATTTAAATAATTTAATTCTAGTAGAATTTTCTAATAAAAATTTATTTAAAAATGAATTTTAGATAATAATTGAATATTAAAATTAGTATAGCGTGAATTTTTAGAAATAATTGTATTTTGAAATTAATTTTTTTGAAAAAGTTTAATTGCGAATTTTTTTAGGAAATAATTTAAAGTTTTTATTTTTTGATATATATTTAATTGAAGAATTTACGAATAATTAAAATTTCGTAAAATTGAATATTTTAATCAAATGGATTTGAAAATTGTCAAAGAACTTTTTCGAAAATTATTAAAAATAATCGATTTAAAGAAAAATTTCAGTTAAAAAACCTTGAAAATAATAATTGAATTGATAATGATTTTATCACTCGGTCATCTTTAATTATCATAAAACATAAAGAAATGTTCTTTTATTTGACTCGGACTGATTACATTTTTGTCAGTAATTCTAATTATTGTTCCCTAATTTTTTATTTTTGGTCCGTAAAGTCCGTATTTTTAAATACTTTAACTGGTTCGAGCCCTGTGATTGATATCTGTTTAAAGTAAAAAAAAAAAAGAATTTTACATTTCAATAATTTTATTGAATTTTTTAGGACGATTTAAACGAAAGACAAATTGAAGCCGTAATGAGAGTATCGAAAGCAGCCTTGACTGAAAAGCCACAAATTTCTCTTATTCACGGTCCTCCAGGAACGGGCAAGTCCAAAGTTATCGTCAATACAGTTATACAGATTTTATCAGAAAATCCAAAAACACAAATATTGGTCTGCGCACCATCAAATGCAGCTGTGGATGAATTGGCGCTTCGACTTTTGCAGATCAGAACAAATCTTGAATGTAAGTTATAATAATAATTACATTTTTTAAAACTTTATCCTCCCCATTAATCATTGTTAATTTTCCCTTTTAGTCAAAAGTATAAAAATGGTGCGTGTTGGTCGTCCAGAAGCCATGAATGTAAAAGTGAGGAATATTTCTTTGACAGAATTAGGTAGAAAGCAGGTTGAAAAAGATTTTCTTTTAAATAAAAATGATCAGAAGACAATAAAGGAAAATAATGCAGAGGTAAATTTTGTTTAAATGCGAATAAAGAAATTTTATTTGAAACTTGTCTAAAATATTTTGTTACAGAAGCAGAAATTGGATGCACTGTTAGAGTTAGTTGAGAATAGAATAGAAGATATAAAGAGAAATGGTGTTAAAGGTGATCTCAATCAATTGTACAGACAACGTCAAAGTTTACAAAACAGCATTAAAACTCTCAGAACAAAAATTGAACAACGTGTGGATTTTAAAAGTCTTTCCTTAGCTGAAAAAAATAAAATAAATCGCGAAACGGAAGAATTGGTTTTATCGAAAGCTACAGTGATTGCATGCACCTTGTCCTCTTGTTACTCTGGAATGATGGAGAAAATATTTGGGTAAGAATTCAAATTTTATTTTAATTAACTTTAGAAATAATTTTTATTTAATAAATTGACATTAATTATTTATTTAGTGGAAAGGAGAAATTAAAAATTCCAATTTGTATCGTTGATGAAGCAACGCAGTGCTGTGAACCTGAAAACTTAATTCCTCTAATGTTGGGAGTAAATAAATTGATCTTGGTAGGAGACACGAATCAGCTTCCAGCAACTGTAATTTCAAAAGTAAGTCTTTAATTTAATTGTTTTTGCTTTTGGAAATCTTTATTTAATAATCGTTTAAAATTGCATTTTAGAAAGCCAAAGAACATGGATTGGATCAGTCTTTATTTGCCAGGTTACAAAAAGCATTTGCAAACGAAAATGACAATCCAGTGATAATGTTAAACACACAATACAGAATGGATTTCCCCATACTATCTTGGCCCAATTCGTATTTTTATCAAGGAAAATTAATAGACAAGGCTACAGTAAAAGTCGTGCCATATAGTTCGTATAGGGTTTTGAATTTAAATTCATTTGAAGATGAAACTAAATTCTCGAATACAGGTGAAGCCGAATTTGTATCAAAAATTATTTTCATTATGATAACATCCATAGATGTGTCTTCATTTAAAGAGACTTTGCAAATTGGTGTGATTACACCTTATCAAAATCAGAGAAATGTTGTTTTGTCGAAAATAGAAACTCGGTGAGTAAAATAATTTTAAATGACAAATAGTCCTCTATTATTATTTATTATATCGATTCATTTAAAATTTCATTTTTTAATTTTTTAATTACTTCAGTTTGAAACCCGTCTCAACGAATAGAAGAAGTAAATTTATAATTGACGTTAATACGGTCGACAGTTTTCAAGGTCAGGAAAAAGATGTAATTGTAATGTCATGTGTTAGAAGTAATGGCATTGGTTTTATGTCTGATAAACAAAGACTGTGTGTTGCTTTAACGAGAGCGAAATCAAGTCTTATATTATGTGGCAACTTCAAAACTTTTCAGGTATTGAATTTTTACTTGAGGTATTAAATTTACTTTTGATAGTGTTGATTTTATTCAATTCTTAAAAAAAAATTAAAATGAATTTAATTCTTTTTCATAGAAAGATGAAATGTGGAATCAACTGCTTACTGACGCCAGGAGAAGAGGTATTTTAATGGATGTGAATGTCAATGCTTCCATGAATGAAATTAAAAATCATGTCTTAAGATAAAATTATTACATGAATTTGTCTATAAGTATTATAAATATAGAATTTATTAAATTTAATCTCAATTTGTGAGCATTCATTAAAAAGATGTTATTTCGTGATTAAAAGTGTTTTTTTTTTATTTGAAAAGTTTGTAATTTTTGATAAAATTGTATTAGAAGGGATAAGTTAATTTAAGTTTTCAACTTTATAAACAAAGTCTGTAAATATTAAAAATATAATTTTTCTATAATAATTTGTTATTTATATTTTATTATTAAGACATTTGCGTTTTATTTATATTTTCATTTAATCATAATTCTTTTCATAAATTAAATTGTTATTAAATTATAAACTAGATAATCATCTTTTCATTGTTAATATTTAATCAATCAACAGTTTCATTAAGAGGAATTTTAAAAAAATTATTTATTTGTAAATTTCAGAAGACTAGTAATTAAATATTATTTAATATTTAACATTTATAATAAATAAGTAGCATTTATAAACAAATTTTTTTATTTTATTCAAGTACCTTTCACACGTCAATCAGATTTCATTTTTTGAAAATGCTTTTCTTACAGGTAAGTAAATATAAAATAAAATTATCATGTTTATTTCATTTTGTGTAGAAAATTATTTTATTAATAAAAGTTAGTTTATTTAAATAATAGTAAAAGATTTTCATAATATTAAAATATTTGATGTTATTAAATAATAAATAAAATTAAACAATGAATAATATATAACATAGTGTATCATTCATTGTATATTTATTTTGTTTCTATTATGTAAAATAATATTATTATAGATTTAATAAATCATGACGCATGGAAATTTCCAGTTGTTGTATTTCAAATAAATTGATTTAATTTATGTTATAGAAACAGTAAGGAATCTCTGAATATAAATTTCTTCGACATCATGGAATTAACTTACTCAAACATTTCGACGTTTATCTTTAAAGCTTCCTTTATCTTTAAAGTTATAAAAGAAAGACATTTACGATTAAAGAGAAATTTAATAATTCAGCAACAAATATTGTAAATATTTGGAAAACCTTTTTTCTAATGAAATAGGTACATTTTTTGTTGTTGAAAGTTTTGACTGTGTAGATATTTATTAATATTTATTTTAAAATAATTATATTTTACTTATATAGTAAAAAGATGTTGAAAACATTTTAATTCTTCTGATCATATAATTTATAATATTTTTAATAAGAATTAAATTAAAAAGTTTTTAATATCTTTTCACTAATTATGAATCAAGTGATCAACACTTTTAACATCTTTTATTAAATTTTATTTATATAGTTAAATATAATATTTAGTTAAATATATTTGATTAACATATAAGATTATATTATTATTTTAAGAAACACTCTCTTATTTATTTATTTTGTATTGATAAAATGTAAAAATAAAGAATTAGTAAATGAATTTGAAATTAAATATTTCATTATGTAGATTCATAATATTTTGCCTACGATGGTCTGCTTAACTTATTAAAGTAGAAAGTACGATTACAATTCGGAAAAGGGCGAAAATGTACGAATTACAGATAGATGATAAGTATTAATTAATAAATTTAGTTGGCGCGTTTCGCTCTTATAAACGGAACCATGGATATTGAAGAATCTCCGGAAGGCCGCGTTTCTTATAGAGAACAAACTCGGTAAGTTTTTCTTCTCGCTTTTATAATTAATTGGTTTTATTATTATTAATCTACATATTAAACTATTAATTAGTAAGTTACTTAATAATTTATTTTCCAAAGTTATTACATAATATTGAAATTAAGCTCCATTTATTCTCATGGAATTTCAATATAACATTGTTTGTATTTCTTGTCGATATATAGTATTTTGATATTTATTCTTTCTTTTCAAAACAAATTAACAGTAAATTATTGATTACTTGAAGTATTTTTTTAAACACCTAAAATTTATATTATAGAGAACAAATAAAATTTTTTAACAATTAGGTTTTTATTTATTTATACATAAATAAAATATTTCAATTAAAAAAAGATTAATGTTTTTATAGAAATCGAAGACATTCTACTCAACGATTGGTATTAATAACAATTGTATGTTCAATATTACTATCACTGATATTTACAATTAGTTATTTCAGTGCAACAAATGACACAAAAAGTGGTAAGTTAGTAAAAATAAGTAAGTTGAAAACTTTTGCATAAGTATAAATTAATTTACTAACTATAACATCTACTAATTATAAATACTAATTATAATTCAGTATTAGATACTAAAACATTTTTGAATTAAATGCAAATTTAAATAATTTTTTTGTGTTATAGATATTTAAATTTTTTTTAATCATTTACTTCTTTTTGACAAATTAAGTTAAGATAATTATTTTTTTTAATTACAGCAGACGTGTGCCTCACACCAGAATGTATACAGGAAGGTTGTATTTTGTAATTACTGTATACTCTTATTTAATAATAATAATAATAATAATAATAATTTTATATTCCAGCGGCCACGACTCTAGAATTTATAGACACTGACGTAAATCCCTGTGATGACTTTTATAAATTTTCATGTGGAAATTACTTGAAAACTAAACGAATCCCTGACAATGAAATGATTGTTAGTGTTTTAGGTGACATTGATGATAAATATCGAGAACAATTAAGGGCTATAATTGACTATAATATTTTTCCATCTAATGTGTCACCTTTTTCGATTCTTCACACTTTTTATGAAAATTGCATGGATAAAAGTAAGATTTTGTTAAGATTTATTTAGAAATTTATTAAGAAACTGCTTCTATAAGAAAATTGAAAAAAATATGTAAAATTAAATATTGCAATTCGTAATTATTTTTACATACAACATTATTAATTGGAGTTAATAAATTATTATTTTTTTCAGACGGAATTGAAAAAATAGGCTTGCGGACAATTTCAAAAATTTTCAAAGATCTTGGAGGATGGCCCGTTGTGGAAGGAGACTCGTGGTCAAGTAACAATAGTTGGGTCGATACAATAGGTTCATTTATAAAAAGAGGATTTTCGACAGAATATCTTTTTCAATTTGGCAATGGTGTCAACTTTACAAACACTAATCAACATTTATACTATGTATGTAGTTACCCATAAATTTAGCCCATTTAGTGAAAACTAAAAATTGATTTAATGAAAATTGAATAAAATCTGTCAATTTACAGATTGATCATCCAAAATTAGGACTCTCTACTCCATTTCTAATAAGAGAATTTAATGACACGTTTGTTAGAGCTTATTATAAATATATGATTGATGTTGCTGTTCTATTAGGTGCCAATAAAACTAGAGCTCAGAAAGAAATGAGGGATTTGATGGAATTTCATATAGAACTTGCAAAAGTAGGTATAATATTATTAATATTATTAATTAATAATGAAATTTAAAATTATTTATTGATCAATTTTTCTCATGCAATTCTTAGAGTTTCAAGTCACCTGAAGATCAACGAAACATCTCTCTTTACAACAATCCAATGACAATGAGTGAAATTGAAGAAAAGTATGGAAATATTCCCTGGAACGATTATTTCCTTAAAGTTTTTCAAAATGCAATTTCGCTGAAGAAAGACGATGTCCTCTTGGTCTACGATCCCCCATACTTGTCAAAATTGAACAACATACTACAGAAGACAGATGAAAGAACTCTAATTAATTTCATTTTCTGGAGGTCAATCGAGTCAGTCGTGAAATATCTGCCTGGTGTGGTTCGAGAGGCGGAATTAAATTTTAAAATCGTCAGAGAAGGAATACTTGAAACAAGTCCCAGATGGAAAGAGTGCATCGACAATTCAATAGAATTAATAGATCCCATTGTTACTTTTGTATACTACCAGACATATTTCAATCAAACTATTCTCAACCAAACTATTGCACAGTCTACCAAAACTTTGGTTCATCAAATTCATCAAGAATTTCTCAATATGCTCGAAAAGGTAATAGTTTATTATTTTCTTACAAAACAAAAGATATATTGATAAATATTTTTATTATTAAATATAGCTCGACTGGATGGATGAGAAGACAAAGGAAAAAGCCCTGGAGAAAGCAAGAGCAATGAACATGCAAATTGCTGATGAAAATAAAGTTCAAAGTTTGGAGCGCTTGAAAATTAAATACAAGAGTTTAAAATTAAAGTCCGATGGGGACTATCTTCAATCGTATTTATCTATTCCAAAAGCGGAGCAGGAAATGTCCAATGTCAATAATTCAGAAAATGAACATCAGAAACTGAAATTTCTGACTGTGGAAGGACCTGCACTACTCAATCCCACATACAGCCTCTTTCAAAATCAAATATGTAAGATTAACACATTCATGATTTGATACTGTTTATAAAAGAGTTTTAAAATTTTGAGTTGAAAAAATTAAATTGTAAAAATTAAGTAAGTATTAAATTGTACTTTGATCATTTACAGACATTCCAGCTGGTATTCTTCAAGATCCTTTCATGAACGACAAGCGACCTCAGTATATAAACTATGCGAATCTTGGTTTTGTAGTTGGGCACGAAATTACCCATGGTTTTGGAGATCAAGGCCATGAGTTTGATAAAAGTGGTCATTTTTACGATTGGTGGGATAAAACCACCAAGCAGCAGTTTATAGAAAAAACAAAATGTCTTGTTTATCAATATGGAAATTTTAGTAAGGATGAAATCGGAGAAAAGGTATGTTAGAATATGAATTTGTTGATAAAATTCTTTATAAAAATTCAATTTTAAGAAACATTCAATTGTTGAATAATTTAATTCTCGTAGAATTTTCTATTAAATATTGATTTAAAAATGAATTTCAAATTAAAATTTTTGCGTAAATTTGAACGTTTCATACTTTTAATTAAGAATTCTATATAATTAATTTTTCTCAATATGTTTAATGGAATTTTTTTTAATTATTTGAAGCTTTTAATTTCTAATATTTTTAATTAAAGAATGTCAGAATAATCAAAATTTCGTAAAATTAAATTGTAAACAAAAGAATTTGAAAATTCACAAAGAACTTTTTCAAAAATTATTTTTAAAAAATTGAAGAATTTTAGTTGAAAATTCTAGAAATGAATAATCATAATAATGAAAATAATTTTTGAAGAACAAAGTAGCAAGTTTTAATTATTATAAAACATGAAGAAAGCGATTTTCTTCATGTTTTATAATAATATTCTGTTATTGAATTTCAAATGTTTGAATATCTTAATTTCTATAAAAAAAATAATGATTAAATATTTAATTTAAAAATGAAGTTATTGTTGTTTTTGAATAATTTCTTTTTAAAAACTTGGAAAAATATAAATATTAAGTTTGACCTTTGAATATTATTAATTTATTAATTTATAATTTGAATTTAAATTTTCAGTTAAATGGAATTGTGTCTCTCGGTGAGAATATGGCGGATAATGGTGGAATAAAAGTGTCGCACATAGCATATAAAAAATGGATTAAAGAAAATGGCCCTGAGAAAAAATTACCAGGACTTGATTATACTCCATGGCAATTATTTTGGATCAAATTAGCTCAAATGTGGTGCACTAAATACAGACCACAAGTTTTAAAAGAACTTATTGTCAATGATCAACACAGTCCAGAAGAATTTAGAATCAGGGGTTCACTTTCTAATAGCCCTGAATTCTCAAAGGACTTCCAATGTCCAATTGGTTCCAAAATGAATCCTATAAAAAAGTGCTCCGTCTGGTAAATTAAAAATTTTTTTTCAAACATGAGAAACAAAATAGAATATTCTTCTATTAATTGTGTTTTATAAACTAAAAAAAAATTGTACATAATTATTTATAAAAATGAAGGAAGAACTTTTCCTTATTTTTACACGTAATATTTTTTATTTATGCAACTACAAATTAAATTATTTCTCAATTTTTATTTATGAAACTGTATAAATTGGAACAGAAACAGACTTAAAATGTATTTCTTCAATAAGTTAATCTAGTAAATATAATTGTTATTATTTTATACATGATTATTTTATACATTTTAAATATTGTAAAATTTGTCTCTGCGTAGCGAATAAAATATTATAAATATTTTTAATTTCTTTTATTTTTGTTGTGGATAAAGATCATTATTTATATATTTGAAAAATGATTTCCGCAATGTCTCAATATATGTTGTTACAAGTAAAAATCTTTTGCTAAAGAAAAAACATACGTACGAGATAAGAATATTGTCCGAGATTAAGGTACTTAGCGATTTCTCGAATTTCTTTTCACGGAACTACACCTTTAGAGTTAGTATATAAGAACCAAAAATGCATAGAAAGACACAGTTAAACTCAAAATATCCTTTGTAAAACGAGTGCATTTCAAATACTTCAATAATGAAGATCTTCGTGTTTTTACTTATAGCTGTGGCTGCAGTTTCTGGTAAATTAATTAAAATTTTTGTTTTTCACAACTTTTTATTAAATTATTTTAATTTTTCAAGCATAGTCAAAGCTGAATTTAATACTGATCATAAATTGAGATTTTCTTTTTACTGTAAATATAAATTATTGCTATTTCAAATAAAATAGAATTTGGATAAAGAAATGGTTATTTTATATATTTGTTATGTTTGCATTTAATGATTTAAAATAATTTCGAATTTCTTTCACAGCCACGAAAAAATGTCAGCCAGGCACATCATTTATGATAAAATGCAACTTTTGTGTTTGCTCAGAGGACGGAACTCAAATTGCATGCACCAAAATGGCTTGCCCACCAGGCCCTGAGCCATGGGGTCGTAAGTAATTTAACATAGAAAATAATGATACCCATTTACAAACATTTTCTAATTTTATTTTATTATTTCTCAGCCCTCTACATCCCTGGAACTCCTTGTCCTGCCGATGTCTTCTATAGTGAATGCAATCAGTGTGTTTGCGGCTCCGATGGAAAGTCTGCGGCTTGTACATTGATTCTTTGCGATGCTTTTCAACCAAGCAAATAATATAAATATGCACTAAAAGGATTTTCAAAAATCAATAACAAACTAAATAAAACAAATTGTTTATATTTTGTAAACTTTTTGCTTCCTCATTATTAGCAAATAAATAATTAAATTAAAAATTAATTATTGCTATTCATTTATTAAACATTTCCTAATTAAAATTAAAAAAAACGAATAAAAAATTCTCATTGTCAATAAACACAAGTTTTCTTTTTATCAACAAGATACAATACCAACAATAAATTATTGCGACACCCTCTGTTATGAATTTGCATGTTTCGTGTAAATAGTCTACTTGATCGCTTGATAAAAAATTCAAAGTAAAAGTGCTAAATAAAAAAATTTATAATTAATTTCTTGGAAATTAAAATTACTGCATTATTTATGACACTTCTTTATTGTGCATTTGTAAATTTTTCTGAAATACTATTAATAATTTTAATGCCATTCATTTGACTCAATAATAATATTTCCATTTTTTATTTATAAAAGAAAACTATAATAATTTCATTTTTATTTGCAAAAGAATACTATAAAAATGTAAATGGATTTTTTTAAACGGTAAAAATGATAAGATTCCTGTAGTGGTTAAAAGACACAAAAATAGGTCACAAGGTGACCAGACATGAATATGATCACATTAAAAAATGCATATATGTGATAAATTTATACAAATCTAACAAAATAAAGAATAATAGTAAAATGCAACAAACAGTGAGAAATAAACTGTAAATTTGCGGATATACAATTCTTTGTAGCGCGAAATACCTTGAAAACAATTATACAATTGGGAAATATTTCTCCCTAATTTGACCTCAATCAAAATATGATTTTAATTATATTAAAAATAGGGACAGCTTTAATCCGTATTGAGGCATACATATATTATTGAAATGTGCAAATACGGATTTGAATATGTAATTTTATCTCTTACAGGGCGTGGTCTTCTTTTCTTAGTCCGCAATGAACTGTGTTATCGAACATTTCAATTAAGGTGATAGTGGAAAATTCTTTTAAATAATATTCATTCACAGCGAGACTTCATTATTTTTATTACTTCTTATTACTTTTTTATTACTTCTTCTATCTGCAGATCAATAAGCTAAAGTTGGTAAATTTAACTAATTATTCTTTACATTTTCCACTAGATGTTGTGAATAATTGAATAATTTTGTAATGTATCATTGATCTATTAATTTATTGCAATCATTGGTATTATGGAAAAAGTGAGAAATTACGAAGAAACCGTTCAAGTCGGTAAGGGCTTGGAAACTGATGCTTCCTTGAGAAATAAACATAGAAACAACAATATTAGCATAGGTTGTATATTAATTAATATATTAATAAATTATTATTATTACGAAAGATTGATTTTTTCCACTCAAAACTGTTTTTCTTGTATTGTTCCTTATAGGGCTTATTAGCCCTAGGAACCGTTGAATAAATAAATAAATAAATAAATAAATAAATAAATAAAATAAAATTGAAGATACATCATCTTTATCCCCGAGTACCGTTGATGTAATACAAATATGGAGACAATTACCAGAAGCTGTTCGACTGAATCCAAGTTTGGCAGTCTTTCAAGCAGAATATGAAAAACTTGATGAAGGTGATAAATCAATGTGAGTTAAATAAATTTTATACTTAAAAATATCTAATATTTTAGATACATAATACTTTGAAAATTGGTTTTCAGATGTTCCATAAATACACCAACTGGAGAACGTTTAGTTCTCAATGTTGGCCGACCGATTGAAAAAGAGTACGTTATTTTTTTTTAGATAAGAAGCTAAAAGTGTAGTAGTAATTGAATCAGAGTTTCATTTTTTTAAAAGGAAGCAGACTGTGAGCTTAGATGATGATGATATTGATCAAGTTGAAATAAAAGAAGGAGAAGTAAAACCCTTTTTCCGTTACTCGAAATTAATTATACTTTTATTGTGCTGGCTTATTTTTACTGTAAGAATTTTCCTCTTTTAAATAATAACAATTACTTATAACTGATTAAAAGTTTAGATAAAAGAAAATTTTATTTTTATAATTTTAGATAAGCTTGACATGTAATAAAGAAGTGTTGGAGGTAATGCATAAAGTTTCCATTCCTATTAACGAAATTCGGAGTATCCTTTTTAAGAAATGTATCTCATATATAGCTCAAGATATAATATAGTAAAGCATTTTAGAAAAATTATTGTTCCAAATTTTTTCTTTAACATTTTATAGAATATACAATTGTAAAACGTCCTATCAGTGACAGAATCACAGTTAATATAGAAAGTTCACTATTGCCAAATTTCAATGATAACGAGAGCATAAATCTTACTTCGAACTATTTAATCGTTTGGGTTGAGAAGGTGAATTATACTGATCAAGTTTTCAATAATTCACACGTCCAGGTATTTATTGTTGATTCAACATTCTTTGATGTTTATTATTTTATAAATCCTATTATGTATCATAAAAGTCTTTTTAAATTTGACTTATTTCAGAATATAAGCAATCCCTGGATTCTTCCTTTATTTTCTTCAGAACTTATTGACTCTTTGCCCGACAGAAGACGACATAACACGTTCACATTAAACACCTCAACTAATGAGTAATTATTATTATTATTATTATTATTAATTATAATTAATTTGTTTAAAATAATATAAACTACCAAACTTAATAATAAGAGATTATGATATGTACTTAATGAATATTTTTGTAAGATTATTTGAAGATGCAGTCGCTGTGTGTATGAAAACCAATTTACCAATCAGTTTACCAGTTTCAATTGGTTACAATTTATCTCCTATTAATACAGACAGTGGGTTTGTGTATGCTGCTGCAATATTGATTGGACTTTATGTCCTCATTATATTCGAGGTACTTATGAGCGAAAAAATATTATATTTTACAAATTTCAAGACTTGAGTTTTTCAGATGGTTCATAAGACAATAGCGGCATTAATGGCGTCTACAATGTCCTTGGCAGTCTTGGCGGCTATTGATCAGGTGAGTGAAATAATTTATTGATAAAATTCAAAATTTGCAATTTTACTATTTTTGTATAAATTATTAATAAGTTTGGTCACTATTTTTAAAACATTTATACAAACTTAAAAATGATTTTATTTATTTTATAATAAATAAGATATGAATTTCAGTTCTTGAAGTAACATATTTTTTTAAAACAAATTGATATGTATAAAAAATTTGGAAAAAAAATTGACATTTGTCCTGAGTACCTTGGTTCTGACATTTAAGTATATACTACATTGTACTACTTACTATTTTGTACGTTACAAATAAAATTTTTTAAAATTAAATTGAAAAGTATCTTGTATTGTTTAAAATTGAGAAATGTTAAAAAGTCTATTGTGCTGTAAATTTGTTGTTAATGTTTAGAGACCATGTATGAGTGAAATAATTTCATGGATAGACATGGACACGCTAATGCTACTGTTTGCAATGATGATACTTGTAGCTGTGATTGGAGAAACTGGAATATTCGATTATCTATCTGTTTATGCTTACAAGGTAAATAATGGATTATTTTGAATAGATTTAAACAAATAAAGATTTAATAAATAAATTCAAATAAAGTTTAGTACATGTTCGAAACTTGAAATATTGATCGTTTGTTAAGATAACTGGAGGGCAAATTTGGCCTCTTGTCAGTATACTTTGCCTTTTCACGGCAGTGATTTCGACCGTTTTGGATAATGTGACTACAATCTTGCTCATGACACCTGTTACAATTAGATTATGTGAAGTTATGGAAATCAATCCTGTTCCAATTTTAACCGCGATGGTAATTTATTCCAATATTGGCGGTGCTTTAACTCCAATTGGTGATCCTCCGAATATAATAATTGCATCCAATAAAGAAGTACAGAATGCAGTGGGTATTATTCATCCTACATATTTGCTCATTTACTAAACTTAACTTATAAACTCATTTACTACTTTGATACTTTGATTTAGGGAGTTGGTTTTACTACTTTTGTTCTCCACATGAGCTTTGGTGTTTTCTTTGTGGCTATAGCAGTTTATGCTGAATTGCGGTATGTTTTTCGTGATGTGGCAAACTTTAAATTTGATGAACCTCTAGAGGTGCAGGTAAAAATATTTGTTCGAATATCCGATTTTTTTTCAATAACTATTCTTGGAAAAATGATTTTTTCACTCCTTTTTAAGGAACTCAGACATGAAATAGCTATTTGGCAAAAAGCCGCTTCCAGTCTTTCGAGCTACAGTAAAGATGAAAATATGGTTCGAGAGACATTAATGAAGAAAGTTGGACGACTTTTATCCCAATTGAAATTGAAATTACTAACCGGCAGTATAAAATTTGAAAATTACAAAGCCACCTTGGAGGAGTTGCAAGAAAAGGTACATATTATTTCGAATTATTTAATAATGTATACCTAAAACCTTTAAAAATAATTTGTATTTTCTAAATTTCAGTATCCTATTCGCGACAAATGGTTGCTTGTGAAATCAGGGTGCGCTTTAACTTTTGTTATTGTTATGTTTTTCATACACACTTTACCGAATGTGAATTTATCATTAGGATGGATTTCACTTCTTGGAGCAATTTTGGTACTGATTTTAGCTGATTCTGAAAATCTTGACAGTCTTCTGGTTCGTGTTGAATGGAGTACATTGTTGTTTTTTGCCTCATTATTCATTCTCATGGAAGTAAGTTTTATAAATACTTTTTATAGAATATTTTAAATAAAACAATAAATTCTATCATATTTCTTCAGTATTATCTAATACTGTAGAAATATGATAGAATTTATTGTTTTATTTAAAATATTCCACAGTTATTTTTTAATTTCAGGCTCTTTCTCTATTGGGATTGATGTCATGGATTGGAAAACAAACTGAAGCAATAATTCTTTCTGTAGACGAAGAATCTAGACTGGCAGTTGCAATAATTTTAATTCTTTGGGTGTCTGCGATTGTTGGCGCATTTGTAGATAATGTACCATTATGTACCATGATGGTGAGAATTACTGTAGGTCTCTCTCAAAATCATAATCTTCGACTACCCTTGCAACCTTTAATTTGGTCATTAGCACTTGGATTGTGTTTAGGAGGTATGTTTTAAAAAATAATTTATTTGAAAATGAAACAGAAGCACTATAATTATTATTGTAAATGAATTTATTGATAATTCTTCCATGTTTGTAGGAAATGGGACTTTGCTTGGCGCAACTGCAAATGTTGTGTGCGCTGGAGTGGCCGAACAACATGGATACAAATTTTCTTTTTTACAATTTTTCAAGTAAGTATTTCTACATAATTTGTAATGTAAATTTATATATTAGATGATGGCTCTAAAAAGAAACTAAAACGAAATTTTTTGAAATTATAGAGTTGGATTTCCTATAATGATTACAAGCACAGTCACCGCAACAATTTATTTATTAATTGCTCATGTCGTTTTTCAATGGCACGACAACAATTGAAATATCCTTTTTATAGCGTGTTAATTTTCTAATAATTTATAGTTCATAATTAATAATAATCATAATTTTATGTAATATTTTAAAAAGTAAAATGTTTATTGAATGTCAACCAAAAGTTCTGTTTAGATTGGTTTGTAGATTTGTTATTATATTTTTAATAATTGTATATAGTCTATTTATTTTTATGCGCAATAAAAATAATTTGTTTTTCGTTTAAAGAAAACGCTTTTTATGTTGTCGTGGAAGAAAAGGAGTTGTTGATGATAAGTAAGTAGCATTGCAGATTAAAACAGATCACGACACCAGACTGATAAATAATTAATTAACATAAATGAAATTGTGATTATTCTGACTTAACGCTTTGTCTATTTAATTCAAAATACTCTTAATAAGAAATCTTAGTTACCTTTGTATTGCAGGTAGTAAGGAATCTTTTTCATTATATACTGAAAAGAAACGAATGACAGTGCCTATTTTGCACTAGATAATTGTCATAATATCAAAGTCCTTTTGTTACCTTTTTTATTATTATTTTTTATTTGTACATAATAATTTGTCGTAGAACATTTTGAAAATAGAATGACGAATCTTTATTCAAAATATTTTCGTGGAAACCTTGTAAACAATGTCAATCATGAAATAACTGCGCGAGTAACTGCGTCAAAAATAATAGACAAACACTCAAATTTTTCCGTATGTAAATCTTATTGTAAATTGTATTTGATAGACAAGTGTTTAATTAAATATCGTTTTATGAAATATTTATATGATAAATATGTAACACAAATTATATGAAATTACTGCGCATCAATCAAATACAAAGATTAATGTTGCGTCAGTCAGAGGGTAAAGTGACGAAAATTAATCCTTATAGTCAATTTATACATTGTTTAATTCACGCGTATTCTGATATACATATTTCTTTTTGTAATGTTTTTTTAAAGCGTTTTTTTGGTATAAAAGATACCGGTTCAATTTACGTCACTAATATATGCAAAAATCCAAGGAAAAATATTGACAAGGTACAATTCTGAAAAGGGAAGCGAATTATAATAGATGAAGACGAAGTCAATGGCAGCAAAACGTCTGGCAATGAAAAAATGTGTGAAGGTGGCCATCAATCATTTAAATATCCTAGCTGAATATTATCTTGTCGAATTTGGGACGTCAATTTTTTAATGTGCAACTTTATATCAAAATCATTATTTCGACTGCAAACCTATTAAATGAATTTTGTGATAATAAATTAACAACTGGAAATTCCGCTTATTAAAAACGATATAGAAAAAAAATGAGTGGAAAGGTCCACTTCTTTTTGAATATTTATATATAAATATGACGGTTATTTCCAATCTTTTTTTCCATACATTTCATTTTAGTTGTAAGTTACTGTAGTAATTTGCGTAATTAAATAAAAAAAATGACACATTCCACTGAAATGAAGAAAATTCCTCTTACTCATCTTTTAATCTAATAGTAGTACAAACATTGACGTTTACAAACTCTTTGAATTGATTTACCCATTCTGAAGAAAAGTTCATAAAACGTTATTGTAGATATTGAGACCTTGTCAATTATTCATAAATAGCTATATATATTTGAAAACATTTTTATTACCCTTATTTTTTAAGTCTTTAAAAAATTTTTTAATATTATTCTTAATGAGCTGTTAAAAACAAACTGGGTTGATTAGCATAAGAAAATAATAAGGAAAATTGTTCGGAAAAATATTTATATAAGAATCGATACTAGTTTCCATTTGTAAAATTGATCCTTGAATATTGCAGATTCTTCACTAATAAAAATATGGGACAAACAAAAATGACAAAAAAGAATGTAAAAATAACTGTTTAAATTGCTTACTCCATGAGATAGGTAGCAAAGGTATAAAATGTATAAAATGTATAAATCTTTCTATGATTTGTTTCTCTCAAAGGAAAAGTTGAGGACACATAATTATAGGGACATGTCATGGCTAATGGTGTGATATTAATAGTCATAAATACTCACTTGTTGCTATTATTATCATCGGTGTTCAATTTTTTCTAACGATTGTTATACACTTCACGTAAGACATGTTAACATTTTTTGAAAAATGGAAAAATTTAATCTGTATTTAATAAAAAAATATGTTACTCTTTGAATAATAATTGATCCAAGTCAGTTTTTTTAGTGGAATATTCTTTACAGAACAAAAAAAGTCGTAGAAGAAACTTTAGTGACGTAAAAATATGTATTAGCATGAAGAATAAAAGAATTTGATTTTTATATTATTTGCAGTGCGCTTTTTTCTGTAGCATTTTAATAAATTAAGGACCGGTCTCATCAAGTTTGATTAAAAGTTAAAATATTAAAATATTAAATCTTTATCAATGAGCGCGGTTAATTTCATCGCTGATTAACTTTTAATCAAAGTTGATGAAATTGGCCCTTTTATTAAACAAATCGATAAAATATATTTGACAACAAAGGAGATTGAAAATAAAGAATTAAAAATGATTTTAAAACTTAAAAAATATTGGAATTCGTTACATATGAGGGATGCAAAAAAAGAATTTACAGTTCATATGTCTTGTTACCGGTCTCTCGCGTCAGTGAGAGATCTTTTTTTTATCAAGTAATGACGTAGACATCAGTTATATATGAGGAACGAAGCGTGAATCGCTTCATTTTTACGCACCCTCTTTTATCGATATGAACCGATGAAAGGAATGGGATAGGAAGAAGGAGTTATTTAATTTATAAATTGGGTAAATTTTAATTGTTTATTGCTGTCAATGCAAAGTGTAGAATCAAAGATAAAATAAGTGAAAAAGAAGAGTTTCTGCCAATGTGCTTACACAGAATTGGAATAGAAAACTTTTAATTTAACATCTAAATTATCTAATAGTAATAAAAGAATAATTCATAATAAATAACTGTGAATTTGTAAAAGTGAAGAGTGACTTTTATGAAAAGTGACACGGAAAACTAATATGACCCAAAAGTGATTTTTAATTCACGGCTTTTTATTTAAAACATTTGATTGAATTTAAAAATTTTAATATATGAACAAGATATTAATTATTTGTTTAAAAAAATGTCTGTCCACATCCAATTAAAAAAAATGGAAAAGAAGAAATTATTGAAAGAATACTTCCTTGGCAAAGTGAATAATCATGGTGAACCACCTGTTGTGGAACATTAACAAACATAGAAAAAGTAAGTAAAGTCCATATTTTCATTGCGGAAAATATTTTTCTAACAGAAAAAATTCTTTATATTGTACAAAATATTAATATTTTAATTTATATGGAGTAATCATTGTACGATTAATTTTATTAAAAATTATGTTTCTTTTTTAGATATAGAAAAAAAATGATTTTTTCTTAAACATTCATATCGAATGAATTTCAGTTAACAGAAATTTTTCATGTTGTTGAAAACTTTTGTGTAAAATAGATAATGAAGATCAATAATTTTAATGAAACTTTCTGAGATTGTGAAATGATAAAGTAATAAAGTATAATATTGCATTAGTGAAACGAGAAGAAAGGAAATAAAATGTAGCCTGATTTTTTTCTAAAATTACATATAAACTTGAAGCTAGAAAATGGTATATTAGAATTGCGTGTCGATTAAGATTATTATAGTAGACATATAGTTGATCAATATCAAAACCTGCACTTTTAACTTGTATTATTCGGTTTCAATCTTGTTCATAAAGTAAGAATTTTGCAACAGGATGTTAGTGGACCTTGCGCTTTCGCATTTATACGCCTAATGTGTGGAGCTGCGCGTATATTAAATGGTCAAATTTTCTGTGAACGCAATGTGCAAACATTCATTTTATAAACTTTATAAACTTTATAAATTTTATAGACACATAAGAGATTCCATATCAAGTGACTGAGGTCCAAAAGTGAAATGGGCATTGACTTGCAGAAAATGAAAAAATTATCTACTTATTCATAAAGACTGTAGACGAAATAAAAATGTAGTATTTATCTTTTTCATGACATATTTGAACTTTTATATTGTATACTTTAAGCATTTCAAGTAAAGATTACTTTTTAGCAGATTTATTAAAAGAATTTTTGAATTGTAGATCTTTTGTTCATAATTTGTTTGCAATAGATGATTTTTAATTATTCGGCTAATAATAATATAATTTCAAAAGTCTTTCAAAAGTGAATCTCAACTCGTAATTTAATGAGCGCAGAAATAAATAATAGTGATCATTATCATCAAGATGAAAAATTAAGAAATAATCTCTTTAAACTATCACAGACTTCGCACTCGATAATTAATTTTCAAAATAGTAGCTTTCAGACTAAAAAAGTAGTGAAAAAGTAGTTATCGAAAAATTAAACTTGACAACCAAAAAACGTTTTAGACACTTCACAAAACTGCCAAAAATTCCATTCCATATTTTTTATTTTCCCGACTTTTTCCTAATTTTCAGCAAAAATATTGACTTTTTTCTTATAATAAATTCAATTCCTGCAACGAATTTTATTATTCATCAAAGAATTTAAATATTTATCAAAATAATTTCATTTTTGCCAAGAATTTTATTAAAATTTTTTAAACATTCATGTCTTACGACTAATTTTAGGCAAATTGTAATTTAAATAATTGAATTCCAGAGAAATTTTTTTTATTCATTAAAAGAATTGACTTCTTACAAAATTAAAAAAAAAAATTTTTTTTTAATAATTGAATTCTGTTTGGAAACTTTATGAAAATAGTAGATATTGAAAATCATTGAATAGCGAAAAGGTTTTAAAAATAATTAAATTTAACAAAGAATTCTATTAAAATTTTTGACAATTAATTGAATATATGTGTGGCATTTTGTTAAATTTTTTTTTGAAAATAATTGAATTCCTAAAAAGCATTTTATTATTTATGAAAATAATTGAATTCATTCGAACGATTTTATTAGAATTTTTTAAAATAATTGAATTTCCAAGAACAAATTTATTACTTTTAAAAATAATTGAATTCTTCTGATGAAAATAATTGAATTTTGCAAAGAATTTTATTAAAATCCCAGTGGGCAAAAAACCATTATTGTTTTAAAAACGTTTTTAGAACGTTTCATGCCTGCTAAATAATGTTCCAAAAACGTTATATGGTTCTAAAACGTTTTAAAAGCAATGGAACGTTTTTGGAACATTATTTCGCAGACATGAAACGTTCTAAAAACGTTTTTGGAACGTTTTTAAAACAATGATGGTTTTTTGCCCACTGGGATGCCTCAAAATAATTGAATCTTCGGGAATAATTTAGTTACTTATCTTTAATAATTAAATTCTTTCGAAGAATTATTTATGTAAATAATTGAATTCTTGGGAAGAATTTTATTAAAATCTAAAAGAATAATTGAATTATTTCAAAAAAATTTAATTAAATTTGTATTTAAAATAATTGATTTCTTTTGAACAATTTTATTAAAATATTTGAAAATAATTGAATTCTTCCAAAGAATTTAAAAAAAAAATTTTCTAAATAATTGATTTTCTCGAGGAATTGAAATTGAATTTTTTGAGAATAATTACATTTTTTGATCAATTCCTGTAAAATTGTATTAAAAATAATTGAAATCCTGTGATGAATTTTATTATTTATGAAAATAATTGAATAGTTGCTAAGAATTTTATTAAAATTTTCAAAAATAATTTAATTCCTGATAAGAATATTACTTATTTATGAAAATAATTGAATTATTGCGAAAAATTTTATTAAAATGTTTAAAAAGAATAAAAAAGAAAAAAAAGAATTTAAAATGAATTAAAAGAAAAAAAAGAATTGAAAAGAATTAAAAAAAAAGAATTCAAAAAAAATAAAAAAAAAGAATTTTTTAAAAAGAATTAAAAAAAAAAAGAATTAAAAAGAATTGAATTTCTGCGAAAAAGTTTGTTACTATTGAGAATAATTGAATTCTTCATAAAAATTGTTATAAACATTTAAATAATAAATGTTTCCGAAATATAATAAATATTATGAAAATTTTATTTTGAATAATTGAATTCTTGTGGAAAACTTTATTTGTGAAAAGAATTGAATTTTTCGCTTAATTAATTGAAAATAGTACTAAAAATAATAAAAATCCTTCAATGAGTTTTATTATTTATGAAAATAATTGAATTGTTGCTTAGAATTTTATCAAAAATGTTGTTAAATAATTGAATTTCAATAAAAAATATTATTATTAGTGAAAGTAATTGATTTATTGAGAAGAATTGTATAAAAATTTTCTTAAATAATTGATTTTCTCGAAATTTTTATGAAAATTATAGGTATTCTAAATTAATTGAATTCCTGTGAAAATTTGATTATTTATGAAAATAATTGAATTTTGGATGAAATTTATCAATTTTTTTAAAATAATTGAATTCCTGGGAAAATTTGATTATTTATGAAAATAATAGAATTTTGGATGAATTTTATCAATTTTTTTTTAAATAATTAAATTCTTTTGCGAAATTTGATGAAAATACTGGATATTGAAAATAATTGAATTTCGAATATTTTTCGAAAATAATTGAATCATTTTAGAGAATTTGATAATAATTTTTGAGAATAGTTTTTTGATTTCTAGTATTAGCGAATTTAAAGTAGTGGAAATTGTCAAAAAAAGAAAAAGAAACAGTAGCTTTTAGTGTCTGAAGTCTCAATAAAGGATCAAAATAATAGCAGATGGTACAAAAAGTAGTAAATAGTAGGTTTTAGTAGATGAGTGAGAAGCCTACTATCAACATAGATAAAATGTTTTATTTATAGAGAAAAAAATAAAATTAATTTTATTATTATTTTGTTCCTTAACGGTATACGTGTATAAACTATTTAAGTAATTAAAGTTATTTTGTTTGAATTCTTTCCAAGTTTTATACAACTTGTTTCAATTCAGGACAACAGTTTTGTGGTTAGCTCCTATCCTTTAATGACTGATTCTTATATTATTACTAGGATTGTGTTTACAGTTTTCCGGGTCAAGTTATTCTAAGGTTAAATTATCATAGTTTATTATAAATAAAATATTATCTCGAAGGTGAAAAAATTAAACTTGACACGATTGAAAAAAGCGTAGTTTCATTTTCATATGAATTTGAAATTCCAGGTTTTTTCCTTTGTTCGTTATTAATCATTTTCTTATACATCGCAAGGTGCTTTTGAGAAGCAATCTTATTTCGCATTTTCGAATATTTTAACTGAGAGGTTATTTCCAAGTAAATGTTTATTTTATCTATAAATATTTGTAAAAGAATGAAGCATCAAACTCTATCCGAAACAGGTTTTTAATCCTATATTATTTTCTTTTAAAATGGTGAATGAGTTTGATTGTAAATTTGGGTTTTTGCGTCAGCAAAGAAATGTGGGCTTTTGCCGAGCATTTAGAAATCTCCGACTGCATTATATTTTATTGGTTTAGGAGGCCTATTCTTCATAATATGACTCATTTACTAAATGACTCTCCTCATCTTGTCTCAACAACTTTGCATATATTTGCTCATAATTTCTGCGATACAAACAGATCACAAGTTTTTAATTACCGAAAATAATGTATATTTAAATTACTTCTCTTTCTTTATTCACAAACATGGACTTTTATTATTTTTACAATAATATTGTTTAATATTGCTAATGTTTGCTTGTCACTAAAAATTTCGCTAATATAGTGAAATTTTTAGCTCATACTTTGTTTCAACAAAGTATGAGAGTAAAAGGAAAACAAAATTTACCTGGAACAGCTAAAAATTTCATTTAGCGAAATTTTATTTTTTTAGTTGAGACTTTGGTTATTTTAGAGAAACATTCAACAAGTGAAGCTTTTTTCCATGTTTTGAATAGTAATTATGGATATTGTTATCAACAGTTATTTATCAGTCGCAAATATTTCATAATTATAAGATTTATTCAACTTTATATTATATACATAATTTTTTATTGTGTTTATTATGACTTTTATTTTGTATTACGTGATTCTAAGTTGTTTTACTTTCTCTTGAAATAGCCAAAAGATGACTGGCTTATAGAAAGTTAAATCATACTTTTTCAATTATTATGGAATTAATAAAGTGCTCGCTAGACTTGAATTAGTTAAATTTCCCTAATTAGCATTAGAATATTATACTAATTTTTACAGCCGCAGAATTGTGTTACAGAATTGTTACAGATTCAATTAGTTAAATAAGTTATTGATTCAATCAATTGTTTGAAAATATTGTATTCACTGGCGAAATTAGTCTACTAATTTATCAGTTTATTTTAAAAAGCTGTTGTAGTTTTTCACTCTCAATTCCAGAGATTTATAACTTTATAATAAATATATGCAAAGTTCATTTAATTTTTCAAAGTTTGAATATATTTTAATTAAAAAATATGGTTCATAATGCCTATCAAAATTAGTAATAAAATTGTGTAAACTTTTAATTGTTTGCAATAAAGAAAATAATGCATATAGGTTCGCATATATTGTGAAACGCATATTTTCTGGAATTGTACTTGAGTAACTTTTATATAAATGAAAGTTTTCTTGATTTGAAAAAAAAATTTTATATAAATATATGTTTTTAATTTCTTAGAATAATACTTGACTCTTGAAATACATAAATATAATTTAATTTATACATTCCTTCTGTTGTCACTTATTCTTCAAATTTAAAAATAAAGTTATTTTATTAAATACCAGATGAAAGTGAACCTATGGGATGTCTAATATGTATGAACCGATAGAATTTTATTCGGTTAATTTAATTTTATTTATTGAAGTAAATCCAACAGTCACAAAGACCAATTAGTTTTCGAAAAAGGCAGTAGGCAGAAAATAATTAATAACTAAAGCAGTTAATGATAATGATAAATATAACAGGACCATTTTCAAAAAAGGGTATTTTGTTGATAACACTATAGAAAAACAAAGTTTAAATTTTAACCTGATTTTGGGGTAAATATTCGCTGCAACAAATTTTCACCTAAGTGAGGGCGCCACTTTCTATGTGAATTAGCATTGGTTAAAATTCCCTGCAACAAAATTTATACTATCTTTTTTTCTGTGAAGGGGATTCCCATGAAACGAGTGCGGGAATTCCCTATGTGAAAAAATGCCCTTGGGTATATCCTTATTGAAACAGGTACAATAAATTCAATTCCACGATCAGTTAAGAAAAAAACCCGTGTATCAATGAAAATATTTAAATTTCTGCTCATTCTCTTTTGGCGAATGTAAAATCGAAGGTCAATTCAATGTGAATCCTTGGTGAAAAAAAGTTAGCTTCACTTAAATACTTAAATTCCATAAATTATTCTCGAAATTATTGAAAATTACAAATAGAAGAATTTTTAGGGTCGTTGAGACTTTTTTACGAAATATTCCTCTCTTACGTAGATAGTATCTCCGTTGCCATTTTACCATTCCCTACCACTCGAACTCTTTAGTAAGTATTCTCGATTTGCCCGCTGCTACTCTGCTGTTGGTCCACGACTGCCAATTCACTATCTCTCCACGACCGTACAGCCGGACAAGATCGCGTAACCGCGCACGTTTTCATTTCGGAATAGAGAGAAATTTTTAATTTAACAATTTTTCATTTTCGATACTTTCTTTTGTCAAATTTTTCACTATTTCTAAATGTACATTTCTAGATGTGGACAAACAATGTGCGTGTATTGCGGTTGGAGAACTATTTTTACTAATAGAAGTGATGAGTTCGAGACGCATTTCACAAATAATAATTCACGTCAGTGCGTAAAGTTGATTCTCAAGTAACTGGGGCTGCACGCAACCGAGCAAAAGGATGAACCACAGCGGAAGCGTGCATTTTACTTCCATGCATCGAAATCACTTCGTTCACGAACTTCTCGTTGAGTCCATACTCTTGCGCTTGTTCTTCAATAAAAATCAGTTTCTTCTAGGGGAGTCTTTGCTTTCTACAAATTTTGCTTCTGTGAAATGATTCTAATTACCTTTTCCTCAGAAGTAACAAATTTGCTGAAACAATTATTCTGCAGGGAGAGAATTTCATTTTAATTTAATTCCTAATTTTCAATTTAATTCAAATTGAATTCTTTTGCTCGGATTAGTGCAGCGCCGATTTCACGTGCTTTTCGAATCAAATTGATCATCCCCAAGTGCTGGCAATATACAAATGTGGCGGGAGATTCGAATTTCGATGAATTTAAGGGCATATAGAAAAAAAAGATAGGAAAAGTGTTCTAAATTTCTTGTTATACCTGTACAAAGAAGTGCTTCTTGTTAACGTGTAAATTAGTGAAGATTGTAAAACGTGTGTGCATATATTCACGTTGTAGAGAAACTTACTGTCATCGCAAGTCCTTTTCTCTGATGCCGTTGTGGGTTACATAAAGCAGGATTGGATTTTACTGAGCAGTTAATGAACCCCATGAACCCAGTTAATCATCTCGTAAAAAACGTTCGGCGATATTATGTAAGTTACTTGAATAAACCTTGAGATGATCCAACACTTGAATGGATCAATTATGCTCGCAATTATGTCACTGGCCCAATTTCTATGTTTAATCATTTCTTTTTGTTTTTATAAAATGTTTTTATTTTCTAAACATACTAAAAAAAGGGTGGGTGGGTATTTCTAGCTTTGAAAAATTAAACCTACGCCTACGTAGATGCGAGGAGTAGGTACGTATTTGGCGAATTTTAAGAATATAAATTATTTACTAAAATTCTTTTGACAACATCATGTAGCAACAAACATTGTTTTAACAAGAATAATTTTGTCTCTACAGAATACGTAGTGAATGTATATTATATTAATTAGCGCATCTTAATAGTATCGAGGTATCCTACCACCTGTAGTAGATTTCTGATATAGAAATCTTATCGTTTATGTCAACTTTCGAAAAAAAAACATTGAGTACGTGTAACGGCAGTAACGAGAGAAACGAGTTTGATTACAACGAAAGAGAGTTTGTACTACATAGACTGCAAGAATGACACTCTTGTGATTTTACAGTTTCCCTGCTGTTCATCATTGTTCTTTTAATCGTCTCTCTATATAAATGCAATTAATGAAATATTAATGAAATACTAAAGATGAAACATACCAAATGATGAAGAGAATTGCTTTATTATTTTGAAATAGGGTTTGTTTACATTACATTGAGTACTGTATGACTTGGGTTGGAGAAAGACCTTCAGCTCGGCATTACACCTTAAACGTTTTCAAATGTCAAGCGTCGCAAATTACTAGAGTCTGCATGGCCAGGAGAAATCATTAAACAATAACGGTGATAAGCGCATCAACCATGAAAACCACTGCCAAGGTTCTATTTCAAATACTAATTGAGAGTACAACATATTTATTACAATGTAAAATTATACTATTGTTTTATTTTTTCCTTCGACAAATATGGTTTTAAGTATTAAAAAGAAATAGTTGATTCTCATATTACATGAATGTAAAACTTTCTTTTTTTAATTCACTGTATACAAATAGTAATTTTCTTAAAATAAAGACAAAAATGACTTTATTATGAAATTGAAAGATGGAATTTTTCATTTCAATTCCTTTCTTTTGTCAATAATAATTTCTTATCTCAACAAGAACTTGGTCCTTTAATGGAAAATAGTATATATATGCGTATGAATATACCTATAATAAGAGAAACGTATGTTTATGCATTTGAAAATTTCTTTATTACTTTTTAATTTGATAAAAAATGTTAGTGCTTCTTGTTGACTCTAAACTCTTATGCAAGAGTTGAAGTAAGGTGCAAAATTGTGTAATTGCTGAGAGAAAATCCACACAAATATAATTGTCACAGACTAAATGAAAAGGCAGTTTATCTTTAGCAACAGTTAGAGCGCCCAGACATAAAAAATATATCTGTCATTAAAGCAAAACCTTGGCTATGATCTGCTTTCATCTTGCACTTTAACTTGAATTTTTTTTTAATTGTAATGAAACACTTTTCTCTTATCACACTCTTATCACTCGTTTTTACATTTTTATAAAAGAATTTTTTAAAACTTATTTTATAAATAAAAGGAAAAGCTAGTGCAGTGTAAATAAAGAGTTTTTTTTTATACATATAGTTGTGTGAATGAAACATGCCAATGACACGACTAAACTTTACATTTCTCATTTGATTCGGTCATTCCACCCACACACGATGTCAGATTTATCATATAAATAAAATGAACGTGTCATTGACATTGATAAAATCTACTTTGTTAGTTTATGTCGATTAATTTCTCCAGCATTCATGACTATTATTTAATAAAAGTGATTTTATATGTAATTTTAATTCTTATATTCATTAAAAAATGAAAAATCTTTTTAATTCCTTCTCTCTAAATAATTGAGAACAATAAAATTTTCAATTATTGCCGCTACTGCACTTGATAAAAAGAGATCAGCAGAGAAAATTGTTAACATAATGATTATATATGATTATTGAGAATAATTGTCAGTATTATGAGAATGAATATAAGTATGCTGTGGAAATAATTCATCGCGCATGAATTCTTTTAATGCTAAATTATGCTGAGTTTCGCATGAATGATTTGCGGGGAAATTCTGAAAATGAATGACATGACTTTTCGGTTGGTGAACAAGATAATCGATCTGCTTTTTTCCAGAATGAAAATGATGACAAGTTTATTCGTTCGTTAGGTTAAGTCCAGCGAGATTAATCATTAATGTCGAAATCTACGAAACCGGTACGCTCGAATGCAGCTTGTAAATATATTTCGCTTGGCTGTTAACCATTTCTAAAGATGTTGTGCAATTTTATGTAGACTCCTTTAATTTATTGAGATTTGCAAACATCAAAGAAATTGTGTTAGGACTAATGACTCTGTTGCCCCTGTATAAGAATGATAAATAATCAATATTATAAGTGATGAGTATGAAAATTATTTTTCCCCATAATTTTCAAAATCCATTTTTTATCACTTTACGTGACTTTTGAAAGAAAAATTACATATTCATTATTAATTCTTGAGGGATTATGTTTTAATCAAAATGTAGCAATTTTCAATAACTCTAATGCTTTAAAAATTATTTTCATAGACAAGGATTAAATTTAATTCTTTCACAAGCACGACTGAAGACTCAAAAGATACAAATTTCTCTTGTTTTATATTAAAATGAAAATTTATAATTTCATACATAAACTGTTTGGAATGAAAATTATGTTCATAGTTTTCTAGTGCAATTATTGGTTTCCTGAAAGTGAAGCACATAACAGGTGGTTTTTTTCAAAATAAAAAACTTGAATATTAATTTTGTTTTAGCAAAAAGTTTGAATAAAATAAAAATTGTGTAACTCGAAAAAAGTATAATATTTTATGTGATCTTCATGCTAATACTAATTACTTAGATTCATCAGAGTTTACTTATTTTTTTGTATTACACTTTAATTTGTAAAGTACAAATTCAATTAAAATTATCAGTAATAATAGCTGATTAATTAAATGTATATATTATAGCTATATATAAAATAAGCATATAAAATAGATTGAAGAGGTGACAATAATGATCCGCATATATTATCTACTTAACATATAAAATAATTGAATTTTATCCAAGACTGAGCGCTATTGCTTGAGTTATTGAAGAGTATCAAATTTTTGAACAAAAATTATAATAAGGTTTTCACATTAAAACAATATTAATAACTAGTTAAGTGTTGAAGTTAAATATTAATAAACTATCAATAACTATGAAAAGTGCATTAGAGAATTATTAAAATTAATTGTATATATATCACCTTAAATATATTTCTGCAAAGGTTAAATATATTGTTTCAGTGTCAAGAAATACATGTTTTATATTTTTTTTTGTAATTGAAATTAGCAATGAGAGAAAAGTAAGAATAACAAGTCAAATGATAATGATAAAAAATCTTTGTCACTAGAATATTGTTAATGACATAGTCATACTGATATATTATAATAACTTGTATTAAAAACTGTTCATAAATCATAAAGAAAAATTCAGTTTTTCAACATATTGACGCATTTGAATCAAGAAATGCAAATTTTTTAATAACTTGTCGTGACAATTAGTTTTTTGTTCGTTAGAGAAAAAAAAATCCATGTCATTTTATTATTAATTAAGAACAGTCTGTGATGTTATTATGCATTTTTATGATAATGTAAAAAAAATAGAAATAATGTTTACACTACATTTAAATTATTTCTTTATAAACTTTTTAAAAATAATTTATTTTTATATTGTGGAAAGTACTCATCTAATAAATCAACTGACTACAACTGACTAATAGATAGGTTAGTTGAGTTGCGATTGTGAAAAAGAAAAATAAAATAAACAAAAAATATTTCATAATTATTGCGGTAAAAACATAGCAATACATGTGTTTGTATTTTACCACACTTTATAAATACGGTTAAGCAATGTTTTTCTAATTCTAAAATTATTGAAATGTTTCAGATTGGATATCTTAGTTTCGAGTATCAGTCAAGTGAAAATAAACCAGTGATTCGGCCAGTGAGAGAAATCATTTGTCTGCAATTGATTAATTAGTGCATTAAAATTTTTGTTTTAAGAACAATTTTTACTTATGTTCATTTAGAACAATGTTGGGAGAGGTGACATGAAATTTTTATACTAGTTCATGTGTCTTGACAGGGTAAATTAGATGCGAATTTCTTGTTATGGTGCTAAGGATCAGGAAAATATTAATTTAAAAAATATTTATTTTTTAACAGCTTCTTGCAATAATTTACAAGAAAATGTTTTAATATTCCTTTAGTCAAGAAGACGCTTAGACTTAAATTATTTAGCAACTTAATTTTAATATTAATTTGCAAAGCTGGCTTTGCATTTTTTATTTCGAATTTTTAGTTTGTGCCAATTTTTTATAGTGTAAAGATAAAAGGGTGGGTGGGAGGAGAGATACAAGTTTAGCAAAACGTTAAGAAAATAGAAGGTTTATAAATAATTTGTGGTTGTAAAAAGAAGAAAAAGACAAAATGAGATTCATCACGTCCTTGTTCGGCGACGGTTCGCCCAAGAGGATGGGCAGACAGTACATGAAGGTGGGAAGAAATGCACTTTTTGGAATTAAACCCAATCGAGATGGGGAAATTCCAATGGAGAAGGTGCCCAAACCACTTAGCATGCTCATCTCTGAACGAGGGAAATTCAGACATAGTGAGTATATATTAAAACATTTCTTTATAATTAAAATATTGAAATATTATTACTAATTTTTAAGAAAATATAACTTAACAAAACAATTAATTTAGATTTGTTTTAAAAAAGTAGTTTTCATGTGATGAGATATAAGAAAACGTAATTTATAATATTCAATATTAAATAATAGGAAAAAAGATATCGTAAGCTTTAACGCATTGAAATACTCCTCACGAATATCTATATCTATATATAAGTAAAGTTGCACTTCTCAGGTAAAAATTGGAAAGAATGATAATTATTGTGTAAATATAAATACATTATTGAACGACCTTCAGTCTTGAATTTTCAGTTTCGTTACGCACAATCCTTACATCCTTCAAGAAGATTTACGAAAATCAATAACATTCTTTTTGTCTCTTTAAACACAAACACTCGAAAAAAGTGTTTCAAAATTGTTTCTCAAACTATTTTACACAAATATTTATTACAAAATTTGTAATTATTAGTTTTTTTTAATTATTTTATTGAACAAAAAAATATTAATTTTTTTGTTCAATAAAAATCAATCAAAATTTAAAAACTCATTTCAATTATACACACAAAATTAGTTTACAAAAACTTGATATTTAAAAAACATAAGCGTATGCATATTATGTATATTAATATTGTCTTTTAATAATAACTATCCACCTTGACACTAAATTACACTAGTAGTTTGACGAATATCTCAAGTCATAAAAGAAAATGAAGGTTATAAAAACTATTAATGATTCTTTATAAAGAAAATATGAATTGTCATTTGAAATTTATCGCATTTTTTTAGATTTAAATTTCGTCGTAAACCTATATTTATGTACTCAAAAAACTTAATTGCAACTGAAGATTTATAAAAACGGAATAATTTCATCTACATCTGGAGTCTTTTAGTGAAATTTATTGCAATTTTAATAAATTACCATATTCTATTTATATTTCTTGCAAGCTTCAAGTCAATTGTTTAAGGAGAAGAAAATAAAATGGAAATTTATTATTATGAATTAGAATTATATTTTTTCTTAAATAATTTATTTTAAGTTAAGTTTAAAATAAAAATAGTGTTTCACTTTCATTAGGTAAATTATTTAACGTATTGCTTGTACGTGCAAAATGCTGTAATTGTATTTATAAACTTTCAGATGTTGAACCTAATAGTTTTGTCCTTTTTTCATTTTGACTTTTATTGTTATTAAGTAATCTACGTATTTTATTATTTGCTTAAAATTTCTTTTTGTTAGCTCTCGAATACATAATTTATATATGTTATTTTAAAAAACGATTCAAAAGCCGTACACTGCATTAACAGATATTGCATATACTGACAATATGCACAGACTGTATAGTAGGAAAGTGATTTATATGTGAGTATTGCAATATTATAATTTATGAAGGAATAAAAAATGAAAAGTTTAGATGGGAACAAAAGTACTGAATTAACTTTTGTATATGAGAAATTTATTTTTACACATATGTAAGATATTCAATACACTTTTCACCGATTATAAAAGCAGCATTTTGCGTAAGAATCGATTAGCATTAACTTATGGTATAAGTGAAATTCGTAGAAAAATCAAATAGTTGAAAGACCTTGACATTTTTGTTAAATTAAATATTGTGTTTCAGAAATACAAATGATTTTAGTCGAGTAAATATCGGGAGTATAATGGCAGCATTAACTTGAAAGTTTTTCTTGTCATTTTTAAGGATAGGACGCTTTTTCTATATTTCTGAAAAAATGAGTAATAAATTATATAAACAGGTTTTGCTTCATAATATAAATATAAAAATTAGCTATTAAGTAGATGCGATCTTTTGGGTCTGAGATTTTCTTATCGAATATGTATGTCTAATATTATAATAGCTGTTTTTAATTATTTTTTCGAAAAGTTGTAAATTAAAATAAACACCCTCAAATATATGCAGTTGAAAATTATTCTGCTATTTGGATCTCGGGTCTGTGTCAGTGGTACATATACTTTTTGTAACAGTGGATGCAAGGCTGATTACAAAATCTTGACTGACCAAACATTTTTAATTGAGGGTTACAAAACGTGAGAGTTTGAAGCATATAATGTACTGGTGGGACTGGTGGCCGAATGACGCATAAACGCCAGGCAGCCTTGCAAAATTTCTATATGTACTATAGAACTGTCTTCAGTGCACTGGATTGTCAGTGCACCTGTACGTTCCTATTTGCACATACACACTCACACACCAATATTTTCAGAGCACTTTCACTCTCACATTGAGTGTGATGCTGGAACTGGAAGAACACTGATCATTTTGTTGGCTGCCGAACCGGTCGGTCGTTGTACTTTGGAGTCTGGCTTATACTTAAAGACCAACATTCTGAAGACTACACATTTTTTTAAAAATAACATCAAAATTACATCATGTAACCATCAAAGTCTGCTGAACTAAAGTACTTGACAATAATCTTTCTAAACTTGTTACTTTCTTTGTAACAAGTTTTTCTTTTCCTTCTTCTTGGGGTATTTTGCTCTCCTTATTAATGTCTTTTTATAAATATTCCATGATTACGAGTCTATCATTCCAGTGCGGCCGGTGCGGCCTTTAAGTAATTGCAATAAAATGTAACCGTTATATAAAATTATATTTTTTCGCCACATGCGACTAAATTACATATTTATAAAGAACCTTTTTATAACGAACATTATATAGTCAAAGTGAGAATGGTAAACTTGTTAAAGATTCATAATATCATTTTTACAGTACAATTTTATTACGATGGAATTTGCGTTTACAATTTTTTCATAAATAGATGAACTTTTCAAAAGATTTTAATTTAAAATGTTGAAAAATTTCAATTTTCATTGATTTTAATTACAAATATAAAAAAACTTGGATTAAAAAAATTTTAAAAACTAAAATTCTTTTGAAGTTAGTTAAATTTTTTAATATATATTTAACTAGTTTTATTAAAAATAGTGGATTTATAGAAGAATTTTAGTTAAAAACACTAAAACAAATTGTATTTTGAAGCAATTACAAATGATTGGAGAAATTCAATTATTTTCAAAAATTTAAATAAAATTCTTGGCAAAATTTTAATTATTTTCAAAAAGTTTCCTCAATTCAATAATATTTAATATCTACTACTTTAATAAAAATTCCTAAAAGAATTCAATTAGTTAACAAAAGTTTTAATAAAATTCTATGCAAACATTTAATTATTTTTATAAATAATAAAAATTTCACAGGAATTCAATTATTTACAAATTATTATTCAATTATTTTCATAAGTAATACCATTTTTTACAAGGATTCAATTATTTTTATAAATAATACCATTTTTTACAGGGATTCAATTATTTTTATCAATAATAAAACTCAATGCTGACTTTCAATTATTTTTAATGCAATTTTAAAGGAATTCCTCGAAAAAAGTTATTGTTCTTAAAAATGTTACTAAAATTTATCAAAAAAATTTAATTATTTAAATAATCTTTGCTACAATTTATTTATTAGAGTTTCAGTATTATTTTCAATTCATTTCTAATTAAATTTCTTATTAAAGAATAAAATTATTTTCAAAAATTTTAATGAAATTCTTTGCGTAACAATTCAATTTTTTTCAAAATAATTTCAATAAAATTTTTCGCAGAAATCCAATTATGTTTAAAAATTTACAAAAATTGTCGTTAAAATTTCAATTATATTTATAAATAATAAAATTTTCCTCCGAAATTCAATTATTTTCAAAACTTTTAATAAAATTCTTGTCAAGATTTCGATTATTTTCACAGGAATTTAATTATTTACAATTTTTTTTAAATTTCTTCCCAATAATGCAATTATTTTCATAAATAATAAAATTTATATAGAAATTCAATTATTTTCGTAAATAATAAAATTCTTTTTATAAATTCAATTATTTTCATAAATAATAAAACTCATTGCAGAATTTCAATTATTTTTAATACATAATGTTAATCAAATTCCTCGAAAAATGTCATTTTTCTGAAAAATTTTATTAAAATTCGTCAAAAGAATTTAGTTATTTAATATTGGTAAAATTCTTTATAAAAATTCAATTTTAAGAAACATGCAATTATTCAATAAATTGTTTTTTTCATTCAAATAACTGAATTTTAGTAGAATTTTTTAATAAGAATTTATTTGAAAATGAATTTCAGTTAAAATTGTAGATAATAATAATTGAATACTAAAATAAATATAGCGTGAATTTTTAGAAATAATTGAATTTTAAAAAGGTTTCAAATTAAAATCTTTGAAAATCTGAAAGTTTCACATTGTAACTAACAATTCTGTGGAATTATTCTTAAAAATTTTATTAAAATTGAAATTTGTCAAAAGAATTCAATTATTTAAAAATTTGTTGAAAAAATTCTTTATGAAAATTCAATTTTTAAGAAACATTCAATTGTCTAATAAAATATTTATTTTTATAGTTAAATAATTAAATTCTCGTAGAATTTTCCAATAAATATTTAAAAATGAATTTCAAATTAAAATCTTTGAAAACTTAAACTTTTCATATTTTTAATTAAGAGTTCTATAGAATTAATTTTTCTCAATAAGTTTAATGGAATTTTTTTTTAATTCTTTGAAGTTTTTAATTTCTAATATATTTAATTGAAGAATGTCAGAATAATCGAAATTTCGTAAAATTAAATTATAAACAAAAAAATTTGAAAATTCACAAAGAACTTTTTCAAAAATTATTTTAAAAAAATTGAAGAATTTTAGTTGAAAATTCTAGAAAAGAATAATCGTAGTGATGAAAATAATTTTTGAAAAAGTTGCAGTAACAAAGTAGCAAGTTTTAATTAATATAAAACATGAAGAAAGTCCGAGTCTTCGACTCGGAGTGATCGATATCTTCATGTTTTATAATAAATATTCTTGATGTAATTGAATTTCAAATTTTTGAATATTTTAATTTCTTTAAAAAAAAATGATTAAATATTTATGTAAAAATGAAGTTATTGATGTTT